GACACACATCATTACAATGGACCTTCATCAAAAGGAAATTCAAGGTTTCTACGAATGTCCAGTTGATAATTTGAGGGCTTCTCCTTTCCTACTGCAGTACATTCAAGAAAGTGTAAGTGTTCTTTTTGTTTAAAACTAATAAAATAATATTCCAGGCTAGAAAATAATAAACTGTACTGGGGTCCACCTGCAGCATGGTATATTGATAAAAAGCAGCCTATGTGGTAATCAAAGTATCAAACCTATAAACAAACATACACAAAAACAGTCTTGTTGATTTTCCTTGAAAGAATAACAAACATACATTTGTACATTCTCGCAAACTGACATTTTTAATATTAATCTGAAGTATGCTATTTGAGAGATGATGTCACACTATAGTCTACATAAGTATGAAGATGTCTTTTATGTTAAAGGCTACTTATAGTGTATTATGTCTACCTCTACTGTTACATGGAATATCTAATAAATTTATCATTAGAGCATTCAAAATTCTCATAACTCTTCCATTCCATTTACCTTTTGGCATATGTCCAAATTCACCTTACTTAAATAATGTTAGCCTTACAAGGTTGGCTAACCTTAAATTTAAATTTATGTCAGTCCACCTGCTTATCCATAAATAATTCCATATATAAAAGGAAACAGGTGGATTGATACATTGTATGCTTGAGATGATGCCATGTCACCTTTAAACTCGACCAAAAACTCAAATTCATAACAGGAATGTAATTAAATTTAATTTAGATTCCAGATTACCGGAATTCGGTCATAGTGGCTCGTAATCCAGGGTCGGCTAAAAAAGCAACTTCATATGCTGAACGTTTACGATTAGCCATTGCTGTAATCCACGGTGAACAGAAGGAAGCAGAAAGTGATGAAGTTGATGGGCGCTACTCACCTCCTTGCTTACCTAAGTAAGTAATTTTTTGTTGATACAGTAAATTGTTGCGGTACTGATAAGAAGGGCTTGAGTATGATAACAGTGAAATCAATTTTTTTCAGTATTTACAGATCCATTTGGATCTGATAATGTAATTATTGGCATGTATCGGTTATAAAATAGCTGTTGCGCCAGTTGTGATTAAAAATTGTAACATTATTACAATAATAAACAAAGTAGGTAACATTCCGGGCGTCGGAGATTGAGAGCCGATCTCCGGCCACCGTAAACTCGTCATCCGACCAGAACCACACCCGTGCGTTTTGCGCGCCCATCATAGACCCAATAGACCACCACAGATGGGGTCCTATAGGGCTAATGTTCATCCGGGGTTTCGGGGCCTCGGCCCAGAGAGGGGGGTTTTAGTCAGTAAGAGTCTGACGTTCCCTTCCTTAAGTGTCAGCCTCTGAGGCGGGAGAAGTAATTTTGATAATTTTCTCATCACAAAAAATCAATAATAAACATCAAATCGAAGTATTTAATGCAACATTTATATTTACACCTAAATATACATATATTTTTTAGCCGATCTCGCACCATGGATGTGTCTGTTGGAGTTCCTGTACATCCAGCTAAAGAAAAGCCACCTATCAACGTTGTTGGTGATGTGGGAGGCAGAATAGCTATTATGGTGGTAAGTATACCATACTGAAATTGTGAATATCAAGCAAAACTTCAGTCTTGCTCACACTAGAATCAAAATCAGAATGGACATGGCCAACAAATTGGGCAAACATGTATTTTTTGCAGGACGACATGATTGATGATGTCCAATCATTCGTTGCCGCTGCAGAGGTGTTGAAAGAATGCGGAGCGTACAAAATTTACGTACTGGCAACCCATGGGCTTTTGTCGTCTGATGCGCCGCGTCTTATAGAAGACTCGCCTATTGATGAAGTCGTGGTCACAAACACCGTACCGCACGAGCTTCAAAAGATGCAATGTAACAAGATCAAAACCATCGACATATCAGTGCTGCTCAGCGAGGCAATCAGACGCATACATAACAAGGAATCCATGTCTTACCTGTTCAAAAACGTAACCCTCGAAGATTAGTCACACCTGATGTAGCTTTCCATGTTTTAATGTTAAGTATTAATTAAGTATTATATTCCTAATTGAGTTTTATAGTCACTGTTTTCACTGTATTATTATTTTATTAATTTTATAAAATTGTCATTGATAACATTGATGTTGATCTAGAATGAAGTATTTCATAAAGTATTATATCTGTTACCTAACTGGTCAAGTAGTTGTATGAGCGTCCGCTGAGTAAAGAATTGATGCCTGGATTGGGCAAATGCAATAACACTACCCAATTTCTTAATAAGCCGTATTAGTGTGAGGATCACAATTGTGTACGCTCTATTAAATGACTTGGATAACTATCAGAAATGAGGTGTTAAACATATTATTACCTGCATTTTTCACGTGATGTTTGTGTATTATTATTTTATGTTACTAGTGGTTATAAAACTCTGAATGGAATGATTATATAATTCCTTGTTTTGTGTATTCTTTTGGTTTAAGTTGCTTATTATGATTGTTTATTTCAATCAACATTTAATGTTTACTTATTTGAAATCTGAAACAATTACTATTCATACCTTATGTGGCAGGTGCAAGGATGTTGTTACAACATCTTCAGTCTATTTTCTTTGTTAGAATGCATTTCGTTTTGTTTTTATCCAATGCATTTTTTTGCTCACTTCTTCTACTAGTAGAACTAGTATTGTTCCAAACCAAAAATAAAAGGACACAAGGGAACATTGTAAAAAAAAAGAAATTATAAAATGTATCATAGTTTAGGCTTTTGTTGTATTATGTGGAGGTATTTTAGGTGTGTTAAGAATTAAATGTATATCAATTAATTACTAAAAGTATAGACCGTTTATTATTTAGTTTTGTTTCCTAATCTATACTCTCATCGATTAACTCGTGAGTTCGTATTATGTTTGTTTTTTCAACATGTTCAGATGGGTTCATCCAACATACTAAGCAATAAGCGAACAGAGTAACCACACTTGTTTGATATAGGTAATTAGGTACTATTTCAGTAAGCATTCTTAATTGCTTTCTGTTACTTCTGTTAAGTAGTGCCATTTCACACTGCCTGGCTATACACTTTACGACCTGGAAACTGAAGCATATGATCTGTTGTCAAAGAAACAGTAACCTGCCCTCTCCGAGTCCCTCCAGGCGAAGGTAGTGGTACAGGAGAAAATAAAAGCAGCGCCGGAAAATAGCCTCGATTTCATTAGTTCGAAGATCAGTTACTCTGTAAGATACGGAGCGTCAACGTTGCGTCGACTTCGTACCTTACGACAAAATGACTGCATCATGTGTCACGATGACAATTGTGTTGCTAGAATATAAAGTGTTTTTTGCATGCCGCCCAGAGTTCAGCGCACGTGTTCCGCGCGAGTCGCACCAATCGAGTGCAGCACGTTTCTTACAACAGAAATCTGTATAAAATTTTAATGCTGCTGCACCGGAAAAGCTCCTCTTAACCTGTCCCTAATCCACATCATAGCGAACAGCAGTATCTAATAGGAAATGTGCTCTATAGTATGTGGATTGGACACTGGACTGATATTGTAAGAAATAACATGTCTCCCAACTCCTACACCAGAAACATTACCAGGATAATTGGCTATGGTTATGATTATTTCAGAAGATATAGGAGCAATTGCAGGCCAGTTTTGAGTGCTAATGTGAGCTTCGCAAATGTATATCATTAATTACTAAAAGTATAGACCGTTCATTATTTAGTTTTGTTTCCTAATCTATTGATACTCTCATATCGATTAACTCGTGAGTTCGTATTATTTTTATTTCTTTATCATGTTCAGATGGCTCCGTCCAACATACTAAGCAATAAGCGAGCAGAAGTAACCACACTGTTTGATATGCTATTTTTGGGAAGCATTCTTAATTGCTGTCTGTTACTTCTGTTAAGTAGTGCCTTTTCACACCGCCTGGCTATACACTTGACAACTTGGAAACTGAAGCGTAACTATGATCTCGCCCTTCGTAAAATGAAAACATTTTAAAATATTATCTTTTAGTTTTGCTCCTCATAGCCAATCTGAGATTGACCGAAGATCTAAAATTGTGATATTTTAGAGCTTTTTATTTATATATAGGTAAATAAAATATTTATTTTGCAAATTATAAAAACTTTAATGTAATACTGGTTTTATACTTAGGTACCTATAGATAAGCAATAAACATACCTACCTACATTTTCTAAAACATACATTTATAAATAAATTGCCACGAAGTCGCGTTTGTTGTCTTACGTTATATAAAAAGAGTTATAATTAATGTTTACGGAGCTATAGAGGAGATATACGTTTCGATAAATGAATACATACCTACAGACATACAAATTATTGTATTAATACATAAATTAATTGTAGACTACCTATATAAATAAATGAAATTGTGGCATATTTTATCAAGGATTTTCATTGCAGTTTCTCTGTTCAATAGTTTTAAGGAATTTATTGTTCCACTCCACAACTTAGCAAATGTCCCGAAGAGTGTGGATTCTACTTATATTCTATTCCCGGGTAAAACAGAAGCCGTGTCAGTAACCTACCTACAAAATCAAGAAATAAAAGGCGTGTTAATATGACTGGATATAATCGATGCAATAAAAGACAATGCAATGCTGGGTTGCCTTGTCTTGTCGTATGTAAGGAAATGCACACTGCATCTTCATTATCTACTAAATATTGAAGTTCAGTTTGCCCACTCATTGTCCCAGTTATTTGGTAGGTAGGAAAATACTTAGACTGAATTAGTACAAAGACAGTAGCAAATATTTATAGGTACTTAATTAAACCTACTTATGATTTTCAACTCCGTATATGACTCCGGTTGATTCGTACCTCTCCCACCCAAATAATTATATATTATAAGTAGGTAGGTATTATTTACAGAAGAACTGAACGAAACTCTAGACACTTTAGTAGACTCATGTGTATTTCTAAACGAAATTCTGCCTGTCAATAAAACTCATTCAAATTTGAACTCTATACGACAGATATAAGTGCGTCTATCTAATTTTGTGGCAACTGTCAATAATTTTATTTGTATAGAAATAAAATCTTGAAAGATAAAATAGAATTTTGCCACAAAAATAAAATAAGTCGAGTTATGCAATAATATGAGAGAAAATGTGTCTTTGAAACCTCAATTTGTATTGTGTATAAAGTAAATGCAGAAAAGAATTTGCACACATTCGTAACATTTAGGTTATTTTTCATATTAACAATTTTTGCATTTACAAACATGAAGTTAATAAAACAAATATTATGTGCGCCAAAAACTGCGTGGCTTCAATATTACAAACGAACTTATGCCAGCAGAAATATTTTGAAACTCAGTGAACGCGGGATGTATCAAGACATGTTTCCTAGCACAGCCGGGTATGTTAAAAAGACTATTTTTTTATTGAATTTGGTGGATCTTAAGGATCGGTATCTCAACTACCAACTCAGTCAGTGGTTCTTAGAATAATCACTGCGCTTGATATAGTCTTGCCGATCCTCTCGGCCTGAAGCAGAAAAAAATGAACCTATTTTTTTTAATCTTTCCTTTTTGTACTATAATCTCCGCAACTCTTGAGAACTCAGACCTTCTTAAGGTACAATCACAAAGACCAATATAATGCAGTCCTATCCATTCTATGAACACCAAAAACTGTCTTGGATCCCACAATGAATTAATCAGAAATTTAAATTGTGATAAAATTTTGTATCTTTCGATTTCAGAACTGAAATACTAGACTTATTAAATAAAGCCCCACAATGTGTCTATGCTGGCTTTGATCCTACAGCAAATAGTCTTCATGTCGGCAACCTGCTTGTTATCATAAACCTTTTGCATTGGCAAAGGGGAGGACATGATGTCATTGCTTTGGTGAGGTTCTTTTGTTTCAACCCATGTATGTTTTTTTAAATGTTGTCAATAAAATATATGTTTCTAGACATAACAAATAATACAATTAAACTTTCAATTGTAATAATTTTAAGACACAATAGAAGAAAAATTCGGCTTTCACTTGGGAATTCATGAATGGAGATTTTTTTTTAAATTTTGTTCCATGTGTGGTTTGCTATGCATTAGGTAACAATTATTTGGTTCTTAATTAGGAACTATAATATAATTATGTTATTAGTTTTATAATAACTATAGTACTACTTATTAATGGCATTTTTAAAATCTATTAAAATATAAAAACTTGACAGCATAAATATGTCACAAAACAACAGTCATCTACTCATTCTATTCCATGTAATATAATTTTATGTAATTCTAACATTTGCCCTCAGTTTCACCTACTATTCAAACACTGGGTGAATGTAGAGTGATGTTCTAAAGCCAATATAGTCCTTTACCAAGGCAGGGTCAAAAATACTCACTTAAAATATTTTTGAAATAGTACCTGGTTCTTGAAATTAGTCTTGTTCAAACAAACAAAGAAATCTGAGCTTTATAATCTTAATCTAAGTTTTTTCAATCATGCTTTTTGCAGTTAGGTGGAGCTACAGGGTACATTGGTGACCCAAGTGGAAGGAGCACAGACCGCATAGCCTTACATAGTGATGTAATACAAGAAAATGTTAATTGTATCAAGAACAATTTGGAGACAGTGTTTGAAAACCATAAGAAGTATATCTGGATGAAAGATGAAAGTAAACTTAAACCTATAAAGTAATTATAGAAGGAACTTTTCTAAATTATTCAATGTTTAATTTTATGACAGCTTATGTAAATGCAACCTTGTAAACATATTTACTTTAACATATTAAAAGGCATTGCGTGACACACAACTCGATAAATTGATCGTTAATAAACTCAACTTGCAACTAAGTTTTCCAAGATGCCTGCATGTCAAATTTCAAGCGTCTAAACTTAAGCGATTTGAATTTTTCATGCAAAAGGATTTTCCCGCTAATTCTTAGTGCACCCTCTACGGTACCTAAGCTACATCCCTTTCAAATTTCAAGTGTCTATGTTTAGCCATTTAGGTTGTTAGTCATATGTCATTCAGTCACTCAGTCCTTTTAAATACTTATTTAGATTTAGATAACAATTAACTTTGTATATTATTTTAATATTTTGGTTTTATTTTTCAGGGTAGTCAATAATGAATCTTGGTACAGAGATATAGACTCCATACAATTTGTAAGTGAAATAGGTAGAAACTTCCGCATGGGCACCATGTTGTTAAAACAGAGTGTTCAGTCTAGAATAAATTCAGAAATCGGAATGAGTTTCACTGAATTTGCATACCAGATATTTCAATCATATGACTGGTTACATTTATTGAAGGAGTATAACTGCAGATTTCAGGTAATATTTGGTGTGGTTTTATTTACATTTACATATTATTACCATCGAAACTTGACTGCACGGTTGCTGCGGTGGCTGGGCAACTTGCTGCCGTGCAACGTGTCGCGGGTTCGATTCCCGCATGGAACAACTCTTTGTGTGATCCACAAATTGTTATTCCAGGTCTGGGTGTAATGTGTATGTGAAATTGTATGTTTGTAACCACACCCAATCCATACTAGGATTTTCTCCAGTGACAACACTGGAGAAAATCCTAGTATGGGGCAACATAATACACTAAAGAAATTTGAGAGGACACTCATTAAAACTGTGGTGAACATCCACAAAACTGAATCCTTTGATTCACTCCCTACCTAATAGGGTGGTACGGAATGGAATAAACTCCCAGAAAATGTGTGAGTCTTAAATAATAGTGGGTTTGATCCCTGCACGAAACAATTATTTGTGTAATCTACATTTGTGTTAGTAAGCAACCACGACGCAGTTTAAAAACATATTGCTTAGAAAAATATTAAAATGAATTATCAATATTTTTATTTTCAGGTAGGTGGCAGTGATCAAATGGGCAATATAAGTGCTGGACATGAATTAATTAGCAGAACTACAAAGAAAAGTGTTTATGGTAAGTACCTATACATTTTTATACTTCTAATACTTTATATTGTAAACATAATATTTACATAGTTTATGATTTCTACCTACAATAGTTTATTCTGTTATCTTATTTAGTCCATTCATAAACCAAAACAATGTTTGCAGTACTTTTCAGATTTTAGTATTTAATAAATTTATCAAACCCCAAGCGAACAAGTGTTTGCGCAATTATCGTTTTACTATTGTGTCTCGTATTACCACGATTGAAAAGTTAAAAGGATTATTTATTTATTTTAAAAAACAACAAAGAAATGTGTGTTTTATTTATAAATACTATCTATTTTATCATTTACAGGCCTCACACTACCTCTTGTGACAACAGAAGAAGGCGACAAATTTGGGAAATCAGCTGGCAATGCCGTATGGTTAGATGCAAAGAAAACTAGCCCTTACGGTTTGTACCAGTTCTTCATCAGGACAAAGGATTCAGAGGTCGAGAATCTGCTGAAATTGTTTACATTCTACAGTGTGGGGGAAATACAGGACATTATGTATAAACATAAGCAGCACCCTGAACAAAGATATCCGCAGACTTGTTTAGCTGACCAACTTACAATGCTAGTACATGGAAGTAAGTATAATTGATATTGTGGTAGTAGTACGTTTGAGAGAGTCAAGCTTCGGCAAGAGTGGGTCGGGTCGACCGGATTGATACCATGGCCTCACAGAATGCCGGCGTGAAACAACCACAGCTTTGTGTTTCGCCGTGTGAGTGAGGTTACCGGGAGCCCAATGCCCGCCGTCCCCCATCGCTTTCCAACACTTATGCCCAAAAGGCGGCAACGCATTCGTAACTCTTTTGGTGTTGCGGGTCGGCAAACAAGCCGGCAGATTACCTGATGTTAAGCAATCAGCGCCGCCCATGGACACCAGCAACAGAACAGAGGAGTTACGAGAGCGTTGCCGACCTTTTGGGGATTAGGGATTTGGAGATTTAGGGATTGGGGAAGGGGAAGGATTGGGCCTCCGGTAACCTCACTCACACGGCGAAACACAACGCTGTGGTTGTTTCACGCCGGTTTTCTGTGAGGCCGCGGTATCACTCCGGTCGATCCGACCCATTCGTGCCGAAGCATGGTTCTCCCACACTTATTAAATATGCTTAAAATCTTTCAGAAGAGGGATTAGAACGAGCAATGAAAGCAACTGAAGCCATTTATAGCAAAGACGTGAAATCTCTCGTATCGCTTAGCAGTACAGAATTGGAGCAGATATTTGAGAACGCGACTGTTACGAACCTACTTTTATCTCCTGGCATAACAGTTTTGGAACTCGGCATGAAGGCGAAATGCTTTCCTACTGAGAGTAAGTATTCTTGTCATATTTATTATAATGTTTATTCTTTTCCCTTCACGGGACCACAGAATCCCGGACCTTGACCAATATTGTTACATACCTACGGATAAACAGGCAGGGGGTGACAGGCAAACACAATTAATGGGCCCCCGGAAACTGCCACTAGCATGTCGCGACCCGGGGGCAACATACGTTGAGCTGCTTGGGGAAGAAGAGGTATCCCACGGCTATCAGAGCAATCCCGGAAGTACGGTCAAGACCCCTACCAGCACCTTACTGAGATACATCCTGCCCCCGAGTCTCCTTCAACTCCTACTCTTGCGAATCTCCACTCAAGCCAGCCAATTAAAGCAAGAATGAGGTAGGAGGGCTTGTTCTTCATCAGTGTTCACTCCAGCTCGTCACAAGGACTAACCGGAGATGAAGAACATGAAACCTTCCGGGAGTCAGGTCCGTGGGGTCGCCACTGCCCAAAAGCTCGTCATCAGCCTTGTAATGTATCATCATCAGCCTTTAAGTGCCCATTGCTGAGCAAAGCCTTCTTCTCACATGGAGATTAGAGCATTAATCACCACTCTTGTTAAAGGCGGATTGGCGATTTTAAACTTATAAATTAGAAGTTATACTTAGGTTCAGCTTTCTTCACGGTGTTTTCCTTCGCCGTATGTCAGTGGTGTTTACACAACCATAGAAAGTACATATAACTTCTTGGAATTGTCTTTAGAACGAAATCCTTTTTTTTTTGCGTGATAGGTCATGGCAAGCAATCGGTGCCGCCCATGTACACTTACAATGCCAGTGGAGTCACAATTGCGTCGCCATTTAAAAACCAGGCAACACACAATACGCTTTCCTCGAGACGACCCATTCGTGCCGATACTTGGGTCTTTCTTTCTTTCTATTTACTAATAGCATTTCTATTTACAGGTGACGCAATGCGGATCATCCAAGCCGGCGGTTTCTACATCAACCACCAGAAAGTAAAGAAGATCGACGAAGTTATCACACAGTCGGCTCATATACTTCCTAACTTATTATCCTTACTTAGAGTTGGCAAACGAAACTACTACATTGTTAAATGGCAGACGTAATATAGAGATATTTATTGATATTTGTTGTTTTATTGTACTTATTTTTCGAGACAACCTTTATGACATCGGGTAAAAATCAATGCCATTTTTCGTTGTAATGCTTAAACTCAACAATGCCTTTACCGATTTGGCTAATTTTGGTCTTGAATTATTCGTGGAAGTCCAGAATAGGTTTAAAAGGCCAAAACAAATGGATATAATAAAATTTGAGGCGGTACGGAGTTCGCCCGGTCAGCTAGTAAGCCATAGTGTTTTTTACTTCTTATGACTAAGACTAAATTCAAATGGTAAATTATTTGGGGTTTATTTTGTAATAATTCAAAAACCAATTCAATGTTTGGGCTATTTTATTAATACTTACAACAGAAGCTGGTATACTTGAAGTATATAATAATAAAATGCATATCACATAAGATTGTAAACACTACATAACATACTTACAGCTAAAATAATAGTCATTAAAACAGCATTGCATTCATTACTAAATCTAATGCATTGACAAGTCAACGGAATACTGCCAAAGCGCACTGTTCCACTTGGTCAACGCCGGATTAATTTATAAATACAATTTAATTAACGTTCAATACAAAAAATAAAATCTATGTAGCAGCCAAGTAGTCGAAAACGCGTCACAATGGCTAGCAAATAAAATGACTTGACGGCGCTGGCCAAATGTGTTGTGCTCAGTGGCATAATCCATTACAAAAATCATTAAAAATATGGCTGTTCGTTACAATTACATTTGTGCATGCTCCCGCTAACGGTCATTGACCAGGAGTGTGATTATATTTTTCTAATATCACAAGTATTAATTGCAACATTCATTCATTGTACAAACTTAGTTTACAACATTCCATTATTTTAATAAAATTAGATTTAATAAAAAAGCTATATAGACAATCTAACCGATATGTCTTTTTGGAATAATATTCCAGGGGTCAATGATTAATCGTCAGACCTACGTATTACGCAAAAGCTGTAATTTCTAATTTGGTAATAGATAGATAATATTATTCAAATTATCACGTGTTATCTTATTATTAATGCTACATTTTTATAAAAATAAATACATAATACTCATTTGATGCAAAGAAAAACGTTTCTCAAACAACTTTTACTACGCGACCGAGACACGGTATTGCAGAAAATAAGAGCGAACATCAGTCTCGTTGCGACTTCCTAATAAATTCACGATTGCGAAAACTAGATTAGCATTATAGACCAGTATCGTAGCAAACAAATGTGGCGCCATCTGCTCAACCAGTCAAACGACGGAACAGGGATGATGAGTACATTCTTTGAGTGTCCTTCTTATACATTAAAACAATAGACACGTATTATTTTCTGACGGAATGTTATACTTTCTATGGTATATTGATTTCAAATAGCGTGTGACGTCATGATTTAGTACATGTTATACCGAGACAAAAGACGTGTCTTATATTTTTCAATATCTAACTGACGGACTAAATATATTTTTAATTTGCATACCCTTTTATCATCCCTGTTAACGACGGCGTTTTAACCGCGGCATAGGCACTGGGACGAATAGCGACGGCTAGAGATCTGTACTCTCTCTTAGTGGCTGCGCAACCTGGGCGACCTGCGGCGCAACCTGGGCTGCCTGGGGCGCAGGCGGACCCGGTTGTGCTGGCTGAGTTGGCTGAGCCGGTTGGGCTGACTGAGTGGGCTGTGTCACTGGTGCAGAAGGTGCCGGCTGGGCGATGGGGGCGGACACTGGCGGTGGCGGCGCCGGCACGAGCGGACGCGGAGGCCGCGAAGGCTGCGGGCGCGGGGAGGGCGCCGCGCAGTCTGTGATGTCGCCCTCCGACTGCGACAGCTGGCGGCTGGCCACGCACAGAGTGCGCGGCTCCTCCAGGTCGGCGTCGCGGCCGCCCGAGCTGTGCGTGCGCTGTACGGTCGCGCGCGGCGCCTCCTCCGGCTCCCGGTCGCCGCCGCCTGCGCTGGCGCCGACCTGTATGACGGTCGGGTGTTGCTTGTCCACGGTGTAGATATGCGTGCGCTCCAGCACTGTGGGCGCTAAGTCCGGGGCGTCGGTGAGCGACGAGCGCGGCGCTCGGAAGCTCTGCGGCCGCAGCGTGGCGGGCCGCTCCGGCACGGCCGGCTTGTGGCGGAGCTGTACGTCGCCCGCCTCGCCGGCGGCGGCGGGGGCCGGCTCGCCCAGCGCGGGCACGATGGTGCGCGGCGCCGCTACGGGCCGGGGCGGCGCCTGCCCGCCTGGTTTGGCGACGGGCTGCAGCCGCGCCGCTATCAGCTTGTCAGCGGCGGGCGCAGGTCGCTCGGCCCCCAGTGACGCAGGCCCACTGAATGCGTCCCCCACTACCTTCATTCTACTGACGACTCCAGTCTGTGCCGTTACGTTTTTCACAACGAGTGTGGATTCCTTCCCTGACTCGGGCGGTTTGAGCACGTCAATCTTATCCTTGTCCAGTTCCAGGCTCTGCCGCCGCGTGTCTGCGAGATGCTCGCGACTGCCGGAGCGCGCCGCCTCCTCCTTCATGGCGCGGTTCTGTCTATACGTGGAGCGATTTATTGTCTGTACGCCTGAGATGACCTTGCCGGTGTCTGATATCACGGGTCGGGGTGGCTTGGCAGGTTTGTCGTTATCTATCTTTGTACTTGCTTGTTCTTTAACCACCTCCTGTGCAGGGGGCTGGGGCTCTACTCTTTTATTTTTGTCTGGAGTAAAGTTAGGCGGTACTGGAGCGAGCGGTTTATTTTTTCGCCTCATTATAGGCTTAGGACTACCGTGGGGGGGACTAGACTGATCAGACAATGAGCTGTTGGACTGCGCCTTCTTGATATCATTGTCCAGCAATATTAAACTAGTGTCGTGACTGTTGCTCCTGGAGTGGCGGCCGCCTCCGTCGTTAAGCCTGCCTAGGCTCTGGTGGTTGTAGTCGAACATGGACCGGCTCATACTGTAGTCGCCGTTGGCTGGTTCCTGCAGCGCGGCGGTCTGGTTCATGCCGTGGACGAAGTTAGGCGAGAACCCATACTCGCATTGATCTGGAAGTAGATCCTCTTTGGTGAAGGAGATGAAGAAGTTGATGTCGTCTTTATAGAACCAGTCGGCGTGCTTGATGAGCAGTTCGACGATGCAGTTGACGGCGGTGGTGATGTTCATGTCGAACGTGCTCTCGTCGGCGGCCCACAGGAGGTTTGGGGCGATCACGATGGCTAGGTTCGACGGCGTCATTTTGTTTGTACTTTGGTTCTGTGTCAAAGTAGACAAAAATTTTATAAGATACCTAAGATTTTGGAAATTAGCCTCGGGCAGTAAGTGTATAGCTTCCCAGATAGCGTTAAGTCGTGTTTGTTCTGTAGGCTGACGGGACGCGTTCACGAAGTTTTCGTAGAGTCGGTACGTTAATAAAGGTTCGGGCAGTTCTCGGAGGTAGCTCTTGAGGACGGAGGCGACCACGTGCATGTCCCTGTAGTCTCGGGGTAGCGGGACGTTGAAGAGTCCCGCGTCTAGAGACAGCTTCATTCTGCGTACTTTTGAAGTACCTGAAAGAGACGGACGTAGGTTGGTACTGGCGATGTTACGATAAGCACAATGGAAGTATTCTGTTTTAATAACACACGAGTTGTGAGAGCATGCCCTCTGCTTTACATAATAATATAATAATAAAGCACTCAAGTAATACCACGGTCTCACAGAAAACCGGCGTTAAACAACCACATTGTTGTGTTTCCCAGGCCATGAGGCCCATTACCTCTCCCCTTCCCAATCCTTGAATATCCGAAATCCTTACTTATCCCTAAAAAGCCGGCAACGCACTCGTAACTCCTTTGGTGTTGCAGGTGTCTATGGGTGGTGCCGATTGCTTATCACCAGGTCATCGTTATGCTCGTTTGGCGACCTTTACTATAAAAAATGTAATGAATGTCCACATTTGAATGCTGACTGGATTCTTCTGGCTTCATTCGACCGTCAAATACGCAATAGATATATTTCAATTTTGAAAAGTTTATTTGGAATAACAAAATTGGCTCGTGTTAATATTATTCCCTATATGTTTGTGAATACGGGTGTTATTAACACACCCACGACGCAGAAGAAACTAGTAGTGCGTGCAGCATCCAAAAAAAAAGTACGAGATATCATCATTTATTGAGTACAATTACAGATACGGGAATACTTCCTTGCAATACAAAACACTTGAATTATATTCAATACCAATAAAATAATACTTAATTTGTTATTGCAAACAATTCCTACATACAATACAGTAAATTATCCTGTTACTCACCGCCGGCAATCCGAAAGAGTCCCTCCTCATTCAACGCGAGTTCGTGTAACGTGCACACACATAATTCAATTGGGAACGCTATACAACGATTTGTCACTCTCAAGTGCTCTTCTAGTGGATACCCAAACACCGGCTTCACTGAGCTGTCATCTGTAACAGAAGGTAAGTAATATCTTTATATAATATAATTCTGCTGTAGGTATGCTTTATATACCTATAGTAATATTCTGTTGTACATGTGTATATCATTGAACTCCTCCTAAACGGCTTGACCGATTTAAATGTTTTTTTTCTGTATGCATTAGAGTGGCGCTCTGGATGGTTTAGATTCACAAATCTGCCCGGAAGATAGCGCTGATTGCTTGACCACGCATGTGATCCCGGAAACGGCTCCAATGATTCGCTGTTTGATCTGTGGGGGTTTTCGGGGAGGGTTCGATTGTGTAAGTATATATTTACTTTTGTGTAGTAAAATCATTCACGATGAGGATCACTACGGAAGATAATGAATGATTTTAAGAAAAGTAGGACGGAGGGCGTGTCCGACTCTTATTGACTAAAAACCACCCTTTCCGTGTCCCGCTCATCAATTCACCAACATAATTCATCTCAGGCGTTCAGACAATCTATAACTGACTTCATTGGATGCGAGTGTTTAAACACTCAGATGGTCAGGCTACTTCCAAATCTGATAGAGATCCTTGTAGCCTCGCATCCAATACATTAATGTATAGAACGCACAGGTGCGTCGAGGGCACACAGAGTAGCGTAAGGAAACGCACATACGCGTCGGGGGCACTGAATGTGTTAAGATACATTTTACATGTTCAAGCTTGGAGCTGAAATTGCTTATTTAGGAAAATTCCTTAAATTTATCATTCAATTATCAACTTAAATATTTTATTATAAAGTCGAAAATATATTGAAGAGTGTTCACAGTTGGATGTACTATGACGTGCTGTTATGTCTACTATGATCGTAACAATTGTCGATTTGCTTTTCCTGCTTTATGATTGTCATACCTTATAAAGTATCGGATTTGTATTGTGTATGTATCCTGCTTATAAAAATATTTGAATGTTGAAACTTGAATGTACCTATTCTATCCTATTTCTGTATTATAAATACATTTAAATGCGCGTTACCTATGATTTGCATCGTGCCGTAATAGCGAACTCAAGGCGCTCTAAGTTCGCCACATAAAGTCAACATTACACGGTCAAATCAATTTTAATTTGAGTTTTAATTGTGTCATAACTATTTATGAAAAAAACAGTTTGTACGTAACGAATGTATCCTGTGCTTAGCTATCTATAAAATATTGATACACTAGTATTTTAGTTAATTATATAATTGTGTATTGAATAAGTGAAGTAAATAAATCTTAATATATAAAAATGGATTGCTAAATGTGTTGGTAAGCGCATAACTCAACAACGCCTGGACCAATTTTGCTAATTCTTTTTTTGTTGTGTTTGTTATTGTCAGGAGAAGGTTCTTATCAAAGAAAATATTTGAAAAGTAGAGGGGAAGATTAGGAAAAAGTGACCCTTTGATAGCGAAATAGTTGGACGCTTGCGAATTGGGGGCGGGCCGCTAGTTAATTAAATAAATAAATCTGAGTGCATAGAGCGAGTTTGCTTCACGGTAAAGCGATCACACACGTTATGACGTTTAGCGCTATGATTGGTCTGCTCAAAGGCTAACCATCCAATCAGAGGGCTTATCGTTGGTAACGTTTTGATCGAGTTAACATACAACAAACTCACGTCAGACGCTCTGTTAAGAAACAATCAATTTTTACAAGTGTTATAGAAGATATTTCGTTATATTATGTCAAAATAAAATATACACGTGCCTAACGTTTTTTCAGTAGGTATCTAACAAACGGAATAAATCTATTTTTATAAACTGTGTTTTAAAATCATTGTCATGAAATAAAAGTTTGAACAATAAAAACTAAATTATATTTTTTTCGGATTAAATACCTTGCCAGCTATTTAAATGTTTTTTTTTAACTCCCTAAACTAAAATAAACCAATATAACTATGGTAAGTTGAGGCACCAACTTCAGTTGATAATTATAGCTTCACTAGGAGCAATAATTGAATCTTGAATGGGATGGATATTTAGAATTTAGAATTAATTCTGATTTTGTTTTGGTCGTGGACTCATGGTAGCTTTATATGGGTTAGAGTTGCATCAAAACTTATAGTGAGCGATCGGTGCCGCTCATGGACAACTAGAGGCGTTACAATTACTTTGGAGATTGTGGAATTAAAGATGGATGTGGGATACGAGTTACGCCCTTTTTTATGGCATAAGTTGGCAAACGAGCAGACGGATTACCTGATGGTAAGCAATCGGCGCCGCCCATGGACACCCGCAACACCAAATGAGTTACGAGTGCGTTGCCGGCCTTTTGGGGATAAAGGTTGCGGATATTTAAGCATTGGGAAGGGATAGGAGAGGGATTGGGCTTCCGGTAAGCTGACTCACACGACCGAACATAACGCTGTGGTTGTTTTCATGCCGGTTTTTGAGGCCGTGGTATCACTCCGGTCGAACAGACCCATTCGTGCCGAAGCTTGGCTCTCACACACTTAAAGGCTCTTAAGACCCTGCTCGCGGTAAAACATTGTTATTGCTTCACGCCGGGTTTCTGTGCGGCCGTGGCATCACTCGATACCTATGTTTGTATAGTTTGAATGACGTACTGCGTTTAATTTAATATATTCAACAGCTATGGTTGCCTTCATCGCTAAATTGGTACAGTCCACCCGTCCAGTCGTCTGGCGGAAGTATTATGTTGATGTACCTACATACGTGTCCACGACGGATGTATACATTACACCGATCCAAAGGAAGCATACATAATTTATTGAATGAAGATTCGGAGGCATTCAAATGTATGATGTTCGACTTCGATCATATCAATATTGTAATATGCATTATAATTTCGATATGCTTCATTTTATACCTATGTACCTAGTCATTTAAATTTTCCTGTCATGTCTGAAGATAAATATAAACATCACAGGAAAATTTAAATAAAAACTATAAAATTTTGATTTTCAATTAACTGCATTTGCAACTTGTCAAGGGTTCGATTCCGGTGCCTAGGTGTATGTGATGTGAATTCATATGTTTGTAAACACACTTATATCACAGGAAGAACATCTTGTAGAAGACCAATGGGGCTAGTGTATCATCACCAAAATAACATATACACCTGGTTTTTGAAAGGCTTGTCAACGCTAAAATTAACTCCTGTTAAAAAATAATTCAGTCAACCAATCAGATGACTTGACAAGAGATTAAATTGATTTTAACATTGATCGGCCTTTCGGAAACCGGGTGTTAGAAGCTCATCACTACAATACGCCAATCCAAATTTAATACACAAAACATTATCCTCACTTAGATCAGGTCTACAATACCTAAATATAATTTTTCCACTTATAACGACTATCCTATATGTATATATCCTGTTGTGGCATATAAATAAAGTTACAATAAAGTGATAACAACTAACCAATATAATGTTATACAGGATAATTTTGATATTTCCATTTTAGTATTCCTAACAGACTGGTAAGAATGCATCTCATTGTATGGTAATGATTATTCAATATTAAAAGGTTGTTGATAAAACAATTTGCACAGACATCTAATTATAAAACAAAGATCATTAATGTATGAGGATACATTGAAGAATTAAAATGATGATTGTAAAGAGATACTCTAAGAAGAGATACCCTAAAGAGATACTCTAAGAGATACTCTAAGAAGAAACTTTAAGATTAAAAATTAAGAATAATAAGACTTTGTTTTTGAGCGGTTAAAATCTTCAAATTACTTCTCCCACCCTGAGTGGGGTTAGAAGGGGTGTTCTTTGGTGGGGGTGACTCTTGTGAACCAAACACCACCCCAGGCCGGGGCTATGGTACATGTACATAAAAGTGTTTGTATTCGTAAGCCTGACTGATAAATGATAACACAACTAAAGCTATGACTACTGATGAAAACTAAACTACTTTTTAAGGTTCAACAAATCATTGTACTTACTAATAAACCTTTCTAGCTCCGGAACAGTGTCTTGTAAGGAATGTAGTGCGGACTCATGGTATGCTCTCTGTAATTTTACGTATTGCAATAGAGTGTGGGCAAGTTGGGCTTCTTTCGCGACGAGTGCAAACATGTCTGCAGCCAGAGCATCCCTTGCAGCTTCCACTCTGATCCCAACATCTTCCAATTCTTCTCTAGCAGCATTTAATTTTGTTGGATTCTCTTCTTTTTGACGTTCTAAATGCTACAAAACACAGTTATGTTAAATGAATTATTTTTACCACATGAATCTTAATTTTCAGTTAATCTGAATATCTAATCAAAAGAACCATACAACAGGTTTGATCCTAACAAAAATGAGGAAGAATACTAATTTACAATGGTAGTTAGTAGTTATCAAAGAATGGGAAGTCACAATTTGAAATAAAACTAATTTAAATTTATATTGACTAATTAATGTTTGTTTGAAAATAGATGCAAATAATCACATGTTTCCTGTTTTCACAATTGTAACACATGTCCAGAGATAGATTTATAAGCAATAATAAATAAATATTTTAAGTGTATAGTGTGCTACTATTCATAATGATATATTTTTGCTACAGCATTTAGACACTCTAGTAAGGCTAAAAGAATTTTATGCTAATGCTAATAAGATTTAAAAGGATGGATCATGACCAGATACACAACGGTCAGTCAGTCACTCACGTGTCTGCCTACCCTCAAGGCACAAAGATATTGAGACTTTAGGTACATAAATATGTGTATGTTTAAGATAAATAAAGATTAAATTGACATTGAAAATCTCTCAAGTATCACAACATGGTTTAAAGGTTTTGTTTATATGACAAAATCTATTAGTTCCTGATAAGAATATTCTTATAAGAAGTTCATCTTTCAATTCAACAGTCTGATAAGCTTAGATAACTAAGATCAGAATAAGATATAACTCACATGATATCTGCTTGTGGCCGATTCCTTTTCACTCATAAGTCTACTAAGTTGTTTCTTTGCTTTCATTATGGCCGGAAGATCTTGGTCACTAATAGTTGTTAATGGTGCACAAACTAACTGTTCCACCTTCAGTTCATGCTCTGCTATCTCATTTGCCAAAAATTTTTCAGTTTTGCCTAACAGGAAAATTAATTTGTTAAACAATCAGTATAGTTTTAGATATTTATTTTTCCCTTTATATCTTCTTAGAATTTAATACTCACCACATTCATATAAAATGTACTTTAAAATGCTATCATCATCATCAAAATTACTGGCTTCACACATAGACAATCCAAGGAGGTATTCTGGCAGTTTCTTCAGTCTTTTCTCTCTGGCTGCGGGATCCTGGCCCTGTGTACTGCCAGCTCCCGTTGACAACCGTTTGCTAACCAACTGTAAGGCATTTCTTAAGTGTTCTACCTTTCTATCTGCTGTCTGTAACTCATCTGTCAAACCTTCTGCTTTACCTGACCTGTAAAAAAATATTAATTAATATTTTTGTAACAAATGCGAATGGCACACAAAATCTGTTTCCAAACATGACAAGATCAAAAGAAAAATATTACTTTTTTCTCATGATACCGATTTCTGCATCAGTCCTAATGCAACTGATACAAGTTCAGGATTACAATAACAACGGGCCAAACCCACAAAGTGGTGAATCTTATCTGATAGCTAAGATAGTGTAAAGTACATGTTAATACCTTGAAAACGTTTGGTCTGCGAGTTGCTTAACCTTATAAAACTGTTTCCTCATTGTCACTATTAAATTTCGATGAAATTATTTTTAAGTTACAAGGTCATTGGACCCAATAGCAAAATAATAAAACGATCAAGAATCCGCTAAAAAGACTGTAATGTCAGAACTTCAATGAGATCATCCTCATCAAAGATGAAGCAGTGAAATTATACGTAAATGAAACCACACAATATTCACAATAAGGCACTACATTTCCGTTGATCACTTAAAACACTAAAATTAACATATTTGTTTGTAATTTTACGTATTTAAATTCAGTAATATAATCCACTCGATGAATCAGAAAAATAAAATAACCACAGACAATATTTAATTACTAATTTAATCAGAGGAGAATACAGACAAGTTACTAAAAAGTTTATATAGTCTATGGCTGCTAATAAAGTGGAGTGAATGAACAAAACGTCGCGTCGCAACGCCTAAATAATTAAACCATCTCGGCGGAAATTTACATTCTTGTGTTATTATTTGAATTATGAGCTACATTTAAAAAAAGACTTAATCTCCGCTTTTATAATACATGTATTTTCTATATTAGTCTGTATGATAAAATATGCATTTTTTTTAAGTATTCTCCACATAGTAACCACAATCATTAAAATGAAAGCTTGTTATAAAAAAGACTGTCTTACACTTTCTAGTTTCTTAACACTAAGAATGTGTAACACTAAGGCCCAATTCACGTCACAAGGGTACATAAAAACAAAAAAATTAGCCCTACTTCTAATTTTAAAGGTTCAAGTACCAAACATGACAATAAAAAAAAAACCATAAATGTCATTAATGTCAATATATCAAAATTTGACAGTTTTGAAACTCATACATTGACAGTTAAAACTGGCTTCGTGTCGTGTATTTATTTACATGTAAGAAAACATAATTTCTTTGCTTTTATTGCTCACTTAGTGGTGGAGGGAGTTCGGAGTTGCGTGTAATATCATTGAAAAATACGTCAACAACTCAGTTCTCTTTTAGAAGTTGGACTGTTGAGTCCCGTGTCGTCTCGAAATACTATATACGTATCGCCTCTCGTTTTTAGAAAATTATAAGTATAGATTTTTAGTTTTGTTCCGTAACTAAACATCAGCAAAATGAATCGAAAATTCGTTAACGTTATAATCCTTGGATTTGGGTTTATGTTCGTCTTCACGGCTTTCCAAACTATGGGAAATATAGAGGTGAGTGTTTTATTGTTTTCTCGTACCCATGATATAATAATTACTTTTTACTTTTTCCACGATACGTAATGACAATTTAGTATCATTTAACTTGTCTATAAAATTGTTAAATTGCAATAAAATACAAACGAACATATGAAAATATTACATACTCTTTTAAAAAATGTTAACATTCTTAAATTAATGGTCACTGTGCTTATTAAAATAACAATATGTAGCAAGTCTCACTGTAATAGTTACAATCTACTTTTGATCATTTGCTGGGTCTTACACACTATATTGTACAACTTGTAGAAAGGATCACATTCTACAAGTGGCAGAATCAATACAAATAAATGTCAAGATGTGACCTTGGAATTCTTCCTACCAACCTATTATTGACCTATAAAAATTTTAAAATAAGAACAATTTCTACCTTTTTAAAAACTAATAAGACATCCATTTATTTTTACAAAAGCTGTAGATACTTAATTCATTAGCATTTATGTAGAAGGCATGTTTAAAAAAAAATTGTATTATGTATATTTTGTTAATGTTAATTTAGCTGTTATCCATATCAATAGTGTATGGTGATTCCTATTGTGTAATAATGCGCACATCCTACAAAAGAATCTTCCTAGTCTGATAAGAATTTATGTGGGTGGTAATCGTTGATTATTTTATTTTAATAGTTCAATCAATGATCATACAATTGTACATTTAACTAAAAACTAAATAATGAGACATAACAAGAAACAGTTGAGAATTTTTAAATCCTGTCTAAAATTAAAATAGACAACAATGACAATCAAACTATTCAATATTCGATTATTGTAAGGAAAAAAAAAACAATTTTCATTTGGCATTTGTTTTGGCACATTTTATGAAGTCAACTGCCTAAATTTGCTAAAGTTAAAAAAAAAAACTATATATAATGTCTGTGCTTATATCTGAGGAAGTCTGATGAGTAATAATGACTAACTTGTAGTCATTGTGTTCAGTAAATGTAACATTGTTTATATTTTTTATTGTAACACAGTTGTTTGTTTACAAAACAATGCATCTGGGATGTTGCAGGAACAATAGTGATGAGAAATAAATTAATAAGTCCTAGCTATGTCTTAAATGTATGGAAATCTAAACCTGTTAATGTTTAAAGCATTGAAGTTTGTAATTATGGTAATTTATTTAAACATAATATGGCAGTGATTATGTTACTTTTTGCTTTGTTTTCCAACATAAGATATAGTTTTTATTATATGTACTAGAAAAACTACAGTTCTATGATTTGTCATGCTATAGTAAGGGCAATTTTTTTTTATTTGAAAAACCATTGATGCCATAGTCTGTTGTAATAAACAATAATTAACACTACAGTGTTAGCAATTCAATTAAAATAAATTAAGCTATTTTGCATTGAATATTTAATCTAAGTAAACAGAGAGATTTTATCTATGCATCTGAAAGTATAATTTGATGCAGAATCTATTACCTAAAAGACGCGGTCCACTAACTCTGCGTAATGTTAAAAATGTCGGGTAGATTAGCTGTTACGTTTTATCGGATTCTGCCTTTTTTAGTAAAGAAACAACTACTACACTTTATATTATATAGCTCTTCTACCTTTTGTATAAAGTCAGTTAAAATATAGATAAACGTTTTTCATCAAAGGTTTTAATTAGTTATAGTTACAATTTGGTATAGAATGCTTGCCTTTGATTTTATTACTCATAATTCCCTCTGAGGATATTTCTTTTTAAAAATAAGATAAAAGGTAATTATATCGTTATCGAGAGCCAGTCCGTCTACTGCTCGACATAAGATATTTAATAGTTCGTCATTCTGTAGCGCGATCTTCTTCGCGCCATTTAGTCACCACCTCTCGTATTCAAATACTAGCGTCTCCCGCGCGGTTTCACTCGCTGCTCGGATCCTACAAATCTTAGCGTGATGTTTTATAGCCTAACTAAAGCCTTTCTCTATAAATGGACTAACAAACACAAAAAGAATTATTCAATTCAAACCAACGTTTAACAAACAAACTCATCAGCTTTACAATATTAGTATAGACTAGGAGATAGCCACTTTACGGATATAGTCATTTCACCTAGTTGGTGCACCCTGCATTACATTAATCTAGGTGTGGATTCCACTCCTAACCACCATAATTGCATATCGAAGCCTAAACTGTGTTAGACCAAGAAACTGACACACCCACTAGCTCCAAAAAAGTCCTAAGTCACATGTAACCTGGTAAGACAAGAATTAATTCGAAAAAGAACCTTGATTACATACAATGTGTTTATATTCCACAAATAAAAAAAAATACTTTCTTTAGATAGGCCTTAGGTACATACATAAATTAATTTATGAATAAAGTACCTACATCATTTAATTTGTTTTAGCCGATTGTAATTTCTAATGTTTGTTGAGTATCTATGGCAAATAATCGGTAACTTAACGGTTGTGGATAAACAACAATTGTATGATTTGGAAACCTTTAAATCCTACGCAATTTTCTTCATGCTATCTATAATCTATCTATACTACATATATAAAAATCAAAGCCAATTTTCGTTGTAATGTTATAACTCAACAATGCCTTTACCGATTTGGCTAATTTTTGGTCTAGATTTATTCGTGGAAGTCCAGAGAAGGTTTGCATCTAGAGACATCCACGCGGGCGGATCCGCAAGCGACTATTACTTTATAAGTACGAGTACAAGTTTGAATCGAAAAAAAAGTAACAATGTCATGAATACCAATGTGCTCAGTGAACTTGACGTAGGAGGACTATCGATGGAGGTGGTGTTCGAAGGAGGTCGAATGACAATTAAGCTTGCCAATAATGACTGCTAAATGCCTAAACATGCCATGTTTTATAGCGCGACACTATTTCATTACCGTTATGCGGGTTGACACAATCTATTCCCACAAATAATGGAACTAAAAATGTAGGTAGGTATGTTATCAATACCTTTTAAAACTACAAAATGAAGATACATATATGTACTTGTGTACCTACTTAAATAGACATTTGTCCCTAAACTAACTGATCCAATTGCCTATTCGTGTTGTTACATCTTAAGCCATAAAGAGCTATCTAATACGGTAGTTTCCAACTAGTCAAATTTAATACTTTTACCCAATTGTCAAAAATGATACTTTCTATGGGAAAAACTGAGTTATGACGTCATAGTTTTTCTGCGTCAAATAGCTTACTTATTTCTTAAAAATTAGCTAAACAATTCAGTGTATCGATCAATTGATGAATAAAAGTATAGTTATTTTTCAAAATTTTATTGTATTGAAACATCGGATTAATTTATTTTTGACCTAGGAAACTACCCAATTGTAACTCAAGAAGACAGGTTCTACGTCATAATTGTATGGAACTAGGAAAATATTTTTTACAATTGTTTATTCGATCCTACCTACATTGTGTATTATATGCTAACGGATGCTCCGAGATGCGACACTACCATACATAGCTGTTATTTCATAACACATTGAGTAACAGATAAAAGCACATTATTTAATGTTTGACGTTAATAAGCGAATGCTGCCATGACATTATCCACTTTAAAAGCATATCCGTAAGACACCTTTTATGTTTGGTTTACGTAACTCTGTCAATTGAGATCATCGTCCGAGATTCGCATTGGTATTGTGCAAGTACTAGTGCCGGTATGTCTTCAATTTGCAAATGTCATAGAGAGCTTCATAATACATATGTTTGCTGATTTAAAAATACTTTGAGTCCGAAGCAGTCTGGAGTCAGTGCAACAAGTATTGAAATATTACTTCAAACAACAACTGGTGCTCCCTATACAGTTCTGAGTTCTTATTTGTTTCCTAAATGAACTAATAAAATACACAGGTATCACCAAAAAGGCGAAGGACCAACATGTCAACATAACTCGTCTTCACAACCGACCTAGATTGGTTTAAGTTTAAATAATACCTAAGTATTTGCTAACCTACATAAATGCAGGTACTCTAGTTAAGTACATGCATCGATCAAATACTGTAGGTGTAACTATTATCACATACTTTGTTCTCGATCATGTTAGCCTTAACAAATTCTTCAAACACAGAAAGATACTTCACTTGTACCTATCAGCTTTTTTGTGACGGTAAAATCATCAAATTTTATCACCAGCCCATAGAGTATGGTCCCGCCTACTCTTACTGACAAAATCCCCCGGTCCTTCTCCTGCTCTAGACCGATGCCGCGGTGCCTTTTTGCGTTTACCCCGCAAGCCAATATTCAATATCTCGATAACGCGTGGAGTCCCAGCTATGGTCTTAAAGAAAAAAATGTTCCAAATAATGAGTAGAATACGTGGCTTTCGGCTTCGTTAAGTTTCTTTTTAAACCCGGTAGATAGATAAGTTTTAAAATAAATATTTGCCAAAGTCACAATCATTTATTATAATTGGACCCTTACAAGCACTTTTGAACTCAAACAAAGTTTAAAGATAAAAACTGTCAGTCTGTCGGTCAGTCCTATTATTGGAGCTGCAAGAAACTCAATGGTCTCTATTTCAATCAATTTACGTAAAGAGACGATGTACATAATCATTTATTTTTAAAACGGAATTGAGAGCATTCGAAGACGTAAGATAGCCCGTCTAATTGCAATTAATCAGTATCAGTACTATGCATCTAAAACTAGAAAGTATAAGGCACGACCTGAAAATTATTACGTAAGTATTTGTAAGCGTACTCTACCGCGGACAGAGCCAATTATTTTCATTGTTAACGCTCCACTGAAATCAAGTACTAAAAGCTGATTACCGTACACTGAAGAACTTGTAAGGTGGGCTATTGACCTACTAGATAATAATATTATGTCATTTTTATTTTTATTAATCAATCAATCAATCATGAAACTGGGTTGATGCTCGATCATTGCTCTTGCGCAGCTCTGCCGGAGAAAAGCTTATTTAAATGCAATCGTCATTTGCATCCTGATGTTTCATAAAAGAGCTATCGATATCACTTTCCCTTATAACGCATTCTATTTATATGCATAAATATTTACTTTCAATGATTTTCTTTAAAACTGATTGTGTTTATACCTAATACTGTTTTTAGCTAACTAATTTTGATTAAGAATTGTAAAAGCAAGTTCTGTTGCTCGTAAAACTCGCCCCGTTAATTTGCTTCTAAAATTATTTTTATTATGATTTTTATTGCCAACAACTATACCAAAAATATTCTAGTATTCCAAAGGTCAAAAGTATACATAGGTCCGAGATGTAGCGCCAATATTATTATGTAGTTAATTGTTCCATTTTCATTAGCTAATTGGTCGTCTAACTTAGTTCTAAGGCTGCAAACGTTTTTCATACCTGTAATGAAGTGTCCACTTACCGTGCTAAATTATAATTGTTTATTAATTCTTACGTATCCTATAACTAATGAAAACGAGTGGATATTTATCATTGTTTGTTTCTCTATACTCGATAAATCCAAGGATTTGTTTATACTCGATTTAGGTCAGATAGATTTACTGGTAAGATATTTATTTTCAAGGGCCTTTTCAATGATGTGTCGCTTTCAGATAATTGAGGAGGTCAAAAGTGACGTAGGTATAGTTCGCAATACTTTGATAAGCTGGGATTGCTAGGAAATTCAGATTTTCATCAGATGGTTCTTTATCATTGACAATTGTATATTTCAAAAGAAAGTATTAAAACTTCCCACGGGTAGGTAAATTGAAGTCGTGACAATTGAAATTGGATCCCGTATTTTGCGGCGCATCCACGCAAATACAAGCGAAAGACAATTCAGTAAACAGATATGTTGTTTTTATCGCGCAATTTATTTGTATACCTACTTGCTTTACTTGGTCAGCGTTCATCGACCTCCTTACGTAAAGATAACAAGGTTTTCGGACGGTATATGACTAGTACTCAAAATCAATGTTCCGAAGAGAGTCCTGCTCCGCAGAAAGCCAAAATTGGAAATAACTTTTCTTATAAAAAAATAAATATCACGGACACACGATGATAATAATATGCTTGCACCCAGTGAAATCTTCACACCTACTTATTTATTAGTATTTTATGAAATGTTAATAAAAACACAGTCGCTCCTTATAAAGTAGTGTTTTACCAATATTTATTGGTATCCTTATGTATCCAAATGCAGATGAATATTGTATTTAGTTTATTGATACTTAAAAGGAAATTTCGAAATCGAAAGTATTGTCGCCTTGGTGTGTTGCGACATTTTAGCGGTTTATAGCTGACAAAAACTTATAAACTTATGGACTTGTCCTGATGATACTTTTAAGTATCGATGTACAGCAGTTTTAGCGGACATCCTACGCTTTCTGGTTTCGAAAGCAGGACCTGTATGGGAGGCTGAATATTTTTTGGAGCAAGAAGATTATAATACCTATACTAAACTACTGAATTTATGTGAACTGCACTCAGTGAAGATGGTTTCTTTTTAAGATAACAAAATTTAACGGTTTACACGAGCCCTGTTATGTTTATCGTCACATGCAAGTAAATATTTTGAGTTTAAGGTTTTTTCTCGAAAGAGTTGAGAACACCATTTGGTTTTCTGCCACAACTATTTAGTTGTGATGTATTTATCAGCACTGTTGAATAAGCTTAGTGCGAAGTCTCACAATGTCAAGAACTTAGATCGTTCTTGATCTTTGACTATGCGAATCTGTATCAAGGTCACTCTAAGATAATAAATATTCGTTTGTATTTCTAATTAATTTTATGTCTTTATTATAATATACATTATGTTGATTTAATGCACTAAATTACTAAGATTAGAAGAAATCCGAATAAAATTGATATAGATCTACATATTACCATAATTGATATTTTATTGTACGGCTTTTGTGTGCTTTCTTTTAGAAATCTGACTAAACATCGTTTCACTATCCGGTAAATTGAGAATTCACTCTTGTATGATGTTGTTACACCTAGACTGGGTGACATTGTCATGTACCTACTTCATCACTACATAGTATAAAACAAAGTCGCTTTCTCTGCCCTATTATACCCTATGTACTCAAGTCTTTAAAACTGCGCAACGGATTTTGATTCGTTTTTTTTCAATAGATAGAGTGATTGAAGAGGAAGGTTTATGTGTACAAAAACCATGACATATACATATTATATAATGGAAAAATCGGTATTACATCCGTGCGAAGCCCAGGCGGGTCGCTAGTAATAAAATAGATATATAGGTATTTTCTGTTTCAATTTATCATTATATTTCACAATATCCAATGTTCACCTGCTTGTAATTTTAGATCTGTATTTTGTTTCATTTATCGATGTATATAAAGTTAACCTGCACCTAATATTTATATAAATATTTCACGTATTAGAGATTCTTAATATTCTACTATGAACTAAACCGGATCCTTTTTTTGTGGTTTTGACAATGAACCTAATAACTCGCGAGACAAGCTATCGATTTTTTGAAGAATTCACACTTGTACAATTCAAGCACTTGATATGTCAAATCTTTGAAGGTTATAGGCTATCTAGAACTACGATGTGTTTTTTTTTTATGTAGTAGTGATCTTATGACGTAATCGTCGTGTTTTGAATGATCACATGTTATGTTTATTTCATTTTTCCACCCTAGGATTTTCTCCAGTGTTATGGGTGTGTTTGTTACAAACACATTTTCTGTTACAACCCTAAAACAACAATTTTGTATTAGCACTTAGCAGCTTGTTGCCCAGCCACAGCGCCAACCCTGCAGTCAAGCTATGTGCTGCCTAATCAGGGGTCCTAAGAACAATTCTCTATTGTTCAAACTTTGGGGGTTTTTAAAAATATTTCAGTTAGTTTATTGATTTTCGGTTAAATCTCAGTACTTACTAGCTTCGAAACTGTGTGCAGTGTAGCTAACATGTACTATATACAATAATGGAGGACATCGCACCGTTAAACCCGCGAGCCATGAGGAACCTTATGAATTGCCGGTGTTAGGCAATCGATCCCTATCTCGTGATAATACTTTACAGTTGCCTCTTGTGCCTAGTTACCTAACCGCACTTAGAATAGTTTCCTTGTAATACCAGTTTAACTTGTCTTAAGTTGTACCAATTTGTTTTTATCCTAAGTTTTTAGAGATGTTTCGTAATCGTGTGCTTGTAAAAGATTTAGGTTGAGGTGTACAGCCACACAGACATTTTCCTACTAAACTAGGTTATTGCCATACGTACATCTAGTTTTGTTTTATTCTTTCCGAAGGGGTACGCTGATTTTATTTTAAACATTTAAGACATTGTCCATTTATCTTCCATCCCTTTAGATGACTGTGAGCTTATCGCCATAAACACACCGGAACTACTTTTGGATTGCATATTTCTCCCAATCATTTTCCGAAATCGAAATAAACCTTATTTCTCACTTTGTAAAGATCCCAATAGTCGTGATTGCGACTAATATAATGAGAAACTTTAAAAAGAACATGTTTTGTTTTGTCTACAGAAAACAGTATTAGATAGCATATCACACGATGATCCGGGATTCACGGGAGATGGCTACACATCTTTGGCCATCATCTACGCAACGTTGGCCATTTGCAACTGGATGGCGCCATCCATCATCACGATCACAGGACCGAGAGGAGCCATGTTTATCGGTGGACTGACGTATTTGTAAGTATTGTTTTTATTTATAGATATTTTTAACCAATTATTTTCTGGAACTGAACTCGACGATTTACGCTGTTATAATGCCGAAACGACACGACAGAATTTCATGAGTTTTGCTATGGTTATACGCTCGAAAATGAATGTACGAGTGAAATAGTTAGTAAAACATTCAAAAGAGAGACTTTTGCATAAACTATAATATTCATACATCATTGGATTTTCCAATGAAAAGATTTAGAAATTAATTTCACTTTTACTGCTTAAGTAGAAGCGTGCAATATCACACTAAGTGTGAGAAGTATCTTAAAGTACAAAACTACGGAATTTCATGGGTTCTGCTCAAAATTATTTCATAGTTCTTCGTTTAAATAATTTAAAGCAACATTGTAGTCTTATGTGAGTTCTACAAACATAATGTTATGCAACGTTTTTTTTTTATAAAGCGTTAGGTGCTAATGTCCATCATTTGTCAATTTGTACGTCATTGTACCCGCTATTTGGGTTTGTGGATTGAACATACATACAGACACGCAACATTATTATAAACATAACTATGATGGACTGTACACACTGTAATATTTCGTTGTTAGTAGCAGTATCAGCTAGGTCAAAATTCACCTGTGTATCTTTTTCAAGATGTAAATGGATGGAAATACCCTCATCTATGCATGACAAGTACAAATCATCCTTATTTTATGTTTAATCTGTATTGATTTTGCGATAAATTTCAACTGTTTGTGTAGGTAGTATTTAAATTTGCCTCGAAATAAAGTCAGCGGCGTATCTAGTTGCATTATTATCACTACATCTCAAAGAGTCAATAGACTACCACACACGGAGCCCTATAGAGCTGATGCTTAGCCGAGGTTGCGGGATAAGCGCAATAAAGCACTGCGGCCTCGGCATAAAAAGATAAAGAAAGGGGGTTTTTAGTCAGTGAGATTCTGACATTCCCTCTCGCCTCACTTAGGGCGGGACATTCGATGATTTCCCCCTACCCAATAATAAAAATCTATGGAATGTTATATAATATCAATAAATGTAACCCTAAATACAAGACTTCGTCTGTGACTGTGGTTAATTCAAAATTTTTATCATATTAATTGTAACAGTACCTATGCTGATAAAATATTAAATATAATTATACCTAAATGTAATATAAAAAAGTATTTATAATATTTTTTCGATTAAGTATTCCCACACGAAATAAATATGTGGAAAATCTCATAAAATCTATGTGAACTTTCTCTGCTCATTTGGTTGTTGCCACAGTATGTCTACTGTAAACTAATGTATTATCATAGCTGTGCGAACACTGGTGCGCCGGCGCCGCTAATACTAGTAATACTCGCGTCGTAATTTCACTATGAAATTGCATGATTTTGTGTTGTTTGAGTAATGGTCTAGAAATTTTATGCATTTAACGCTACGTAGTTTCAAATAACATAATAATACTCTTTGTGGCTAATTAATTTGGGTACTTTAGTAGGGACACGATACTACGTCGAAATCGTCCGCAAAAAAAAATTAGGACATCAGACTTATCAATACACACTTTTTAATGTAAATGAAATCAATAATATTAAATGATCAAATGATACTAAAAACATTCTAGGTTTATTACACGATTATTATCAATTTTAAATACGTCCTTCGTAGAAAAATCCTAAAAAAATAACGAGCGATGGTTATTTTCAACTCTATTGTAGTCAGTTTTAGGTACAAACATGCTTGTTTACCTCACAGGATCAGAATAAAAAGCGACATGCAATTTTAATGTCACAAGAGAAAAATATTAACTTTTCAATAGTAAAAGTTGAAGAGTAGAGCAGAACAAATATAACTGGTTCTAGCGTAGCCTCATTGCTGCCGTTACGTTGAAGTGGTGTTATGAATGTTAAGTAACCTCTTTGTTTAAGTTTGTTGCTCGCGATTCAATTACCAAATAGGTTCTGACATTGACTGTCTTTGATCAGCATTTGATGATATTTCACCGCCGCTATTGAAAGCTATCAAGATAATCAAGGATTTGGTTATCCATCGTTACAAAAGACCAGAGAAAGATTTATAGATCTTTTAAAAGAGCCAAGCTTCGGCACGAATGGATCGGCTCGACCGGAGTGACACCACGGCCTCACAGAATACCGGCGTGAAACAACCACAACGTTGTGTTTCGCCGTGTGAGTGAGGTTACCGGAGGCCCAATCCCGCCTCTTCCCATATCCCTTCCCGATCCTTATATCCGCAACCCCTATCCCTAAAAGGCCGGCAACGCACTCGTAACTCCTTTGGTGTTGCGGATGTCCATGGGCGGCGCCGATTGCTTACCATCAGGTAATCCGTCTGCTCGTTTGCCGACTTATACCATAAAAAAAGATGTAAATAGAAAATATTGGTAAGGGAAATACGTTGATAAATAAAAATACCAACATTCAATAAGTAATCTCTCATGAATTCATGACTGACAATAAACTATTGAGTACATTGTAGATAGTTCTTTGTTCGTGTATCAACGTAGTATGTACATAAAATGTGGTGAATATCTATTGCAATGTATGGAAAATGATAAACACTGTTTATTGCAATAGCTATGCATTGTTCTGTACTCCATTTGACGTGTAGTGTAAATAATGGCAATTTTCCAACGACAATGATAACTAAAACTTTTAATTGTAAACTAAATACTTAGACTGTCTGTGTCGGCCATTTTAGTCCGATGAACCGTTAGAATAAAAAAAAAGAAATATTTTTTCAATTGTCACGCATTACGATAAGGGAATTAACCCATCATTTATTGTTTTCTTTTTGTCTTTCAATGCAATCGATATGATATCAATATACAAGGGATTACTGTAACTAGGTTAACCAACTTTACACACGGTTTTGGAAGAATGAGGTTTTTCTACGCTCATTTTACTTCTTTTTGTGTTCTTCCTTGTGTTCATCATCATCAGCTTATAAGTTCCCACTGCTGGGCAAAGGCATCTTCTCACACGGGGAACGTTTGAGCATGAATCACCACACTTGCTTGTATTAGTGATTTCGGACTTATAATATCATCATCATCGTCAACCTATAAGTGCCCACTGCTGAACAAAGGCCTCTTCTCACACGGGGAACGTTTGAGCATTAATCACCACACTTGTTGTATTAGTGATTTCAAAGTTATAAGTCTTGGTTTCCTCACGATGTCTTCCTTTACAATTACGTCAGTGGGGTCTAAATTATTATAGAAAGTACATATAACTCGAAAAAAGTCCCATGAGGTCCCTCGAAAAAAGAATCGTTAGTTTATATTAATTTGTTTTGTTTTTTTTCTTTCTATTGCGGTTTTGATTTAGTACCGTAATAGTTAGCAGGTGGTTTCCAATAGTTATATTATCGCACACACATTCCTCAGTCGGTGTGTATCGAAATATTTTCGCTTACAAACCTTCACTAGACTAGATCACGCCCCCTCAAGGTTACGAGCTGGCTTTGTTGCATAGTTTCAACCTTTCATTTATTTTAACAATATAATAATATTATTTTATAGCTATAAACAACGCTAGACAATAATAACATTTTTTTTTTAATATTGTCTGTCACGTCACGATACTTTAAATTTTCCTTGTAGGTACTCATAGATTTTTCTGCGCCGATTTGTGTTTCCAAACTTATTACTATATACTAGCTATTAGCCTTGTTTAAAATTGTTAGTCCAATTAACATTTTTACCTAAAGACCTGAACGTTTTAACAAGCACAGAAACTGTTTAGAATTAGATCTTAATTATTTGTGCATGGACGTCGAGTCATAAAGTAAGTGTTCGAAATTTGTAAATACGAGTTGTAACTCAATTGCTTCGTTATAATCACTGCACTGCGCTTGCGTGACCTTGTCTTGATTTGAAGGTGCACTGAACTCATTTGAAAACTGGTTTTCGCTGAAATTACAATTTGTTTTGTTGTGCCACCATTTTTCCTTGGATATCCTTATTGATAATTCTATTATACATATTACGAAATATCTGTGACTTGATTGTGCCATGGTTTGTCTATATCGATTTTTCATTGGTATTTTCCAAAAAAATAACAGGCGAATTTCGCAGTTTTGAGGTAGATACGTACTTTATAGGTTTTTAAATAAAGGTTTACTTAGTAATTTAAAACTATTGCTTATAATATTTACCTACCTAATATGGTTTTAAAGTCGTACTTGTCTTTGTTTGGAAAGTAGGTAGTATTCCTATATAACGGGCTTTGTTGTAACACTATTTACGCAATTCAATACTATCTGTCAAACTACTTTTAAAACTACGAGTACATAACATTGAACGTACCAACACGACCCCAATAAATCGAGCTATCCCATACCTTAATAGAAATTCAACCTTATCGCAGTTTAATTAAGTTGAATATCTATTAAACCTGTTCATTGTTTTGGGTAGCGTGATATGCTAGCGTTTAGTCTGTACCACGTGCATGTGTTTTGTCGGTATGTGTAATTTATAATTATTATATGTATACATACTCTAATAAACGAGAGTAATTTTATCTTTAATACCAGTTACAACAACAACAAACTACCCAGTTTGGCTAGCTGCATAAAATTATTTCGTCATAAAAAATTGCGTCTAACACAAAACCGGTAGCGTGCAAATTGTCGCACGTTTCTGTCGCAAGCCACAAGCAACACCTTTCCATTTTCCTCAAAGATTTACGACATGTGAATGATAAGTTGATAATGATCTTTATTTTCTTCCGGTTTGTCATTGATCGAGGTCATTTCGCATAGGAGTTGAATTGATTGTTTTGCATCAAGGAGCACGTGTTTAATACGAAACTAAAAATAAAATTTTGGGCTTGTTAATATAGTAGGCTGATTAGCGATCATGTTTTTTTTGTATTATGGATTGAGATCAGGTAACACATACTAAGTGACCTTGCTTTTGATTGGTTGTTTGATACGATCTCATAACACATTTTCTCAATTGCACAAAGTCAATCCTATCACTAATAAATAAAGTTGTGATGAAGACATTTTATTAGTTAGTTTCTAAAATTAAAGAACTATGAGGACGTCATATTTGTCTGAATATTATTGTCTGATATCTTGGTTGTTTTTTTATCTATATACATAAATGAATCGCAAAATGTGTTGGTAAGCGCATAACTCAACAACACCTGAACCGATTTTACCAATTCTTCTTTTGTTATGTTTGTTATTGTCGGGAGGAGGTTCTGATGAGAGAATCTTTTGAAAAGCAGAGGTTTGAGCTGGGTACTAGGCCCCTTTCATCGTTGGCGAAATACTTGGAGACCCGTGAGAAGCAGGGGAGGCCCGCTAGTTTTAAATAATTTGTCTTCTTCATGTATTCCAAAATAATTCTAGTACGGTCTGAGCCTTTAAGAGCATTATCCCACGCACCTTCTCCAATAGACTTGCTTTATTTGGAAATGTAACGCCTTTGTTCTTTAAGTGTTAGAAATGTGCGAGAATCATGTATGGCTGTAACCTTAACCTAACCATCCCACATTATAATACCTTTGCGGTGTTTGGAGGTGTGTTCGTTACACAATCAGATGGTAACGGCTAATGTTCAGTGGGTTTTGTAGCATCTGTCATTTACAGAGATATAATGTGTTTGGTTGGTAATTTTCAAGACTGGTGTCCTTTCGATTTGATATCGATAAGACATCAGTATCCACAGGTATCGTATTTGTCTTGCTCTGTCCCAAAATAAATTCTTATTTAAATAATATTAATAAGTTTGGTATAGTTAGTAGTATTTTACTTTTGGTGATGTATGGTCGAATAACTAGACTTTTACCATGCTTGTTACTGCTTTTGCTTCATCTTACACATCACCAATTATGAAAGGTACTTAGAAGGATATCTTTATGATCGTTAAGTATTCTTTATAAGTCATAATGTCACTTTTCTGTGTGTTAATTTTCAAGCGTATTTATATCAATTATTTAAGTATATAACAACGAAGTTATATTCATGTATCTGTATCGAAATGGAAAATGAAATCATTAAAAAGCATTTAAATGTTTAACAAAATGGTATTATTTGTAGAGTTTTTTTTTCTCTTATCACTTGAGTATCGTGTTATTATGTACGTATGTTACCTCAACAGTGTTATATTTCTCGTATTTTATACTGAATACTTAGACAAGTATGATATAGTGAAATCGAACGTTGTGGTCACATTACACAACGAGAATCTTAGTTACAAAGTTCAAGTTTTCCTTAAACATGTTCACTAAAGCTGGCGGCCGTTATTATTCTGACATTTGCAACACGCTAGATTTATCGTAGCCTACCTAAGTCCGAGGCAAGCTAGCGACCATGTCATCCGAACCATGTAACTGAGTAGGTTGCGTAACCGATACTTGTTTTAGCAGTTTTACTCTAGGAGACATTGAACATGATGCCTCAAAAACATATTAAGCTATCCTAAACTATAAAATAATTTATTAGTTTTTTTTTATGTAGGTCGCTAAACGAGCGACGAGCGGTGACGTATAACCTAATGGTAAGCAATCAGCGCCGCCCATGAACACCTTTTGGAGATTAGGGATTGGGGGAGGGAAAGGATTAGGCCACCGGTAACGGTTGTTTCACGCCGGTATTCTGCGAGGCCCTGGTATCGCACCGGTCGAGCCGACCGATTCGTGCCGAAGCATGGGACACTTGATTTCCAACTTTAGGTCTTGCATTGTATGTTAAGATTTAAAGTCTATTACAAATGTTTTGCCGTGCTCCCGGAGTAATAATGTAATTTGTGATTTACATTTCAATAGTTTCAATGAACATAATTAAATCTAATTTCAAGCTATTCTGCTACAGTTTAAATTTTGTACAGAATTTAAAATCTTCCGTGTTGTTTATGTCGTAATACTCGTGAAATTGCATTTGCTAATCTTATGTCAGCTGCTAAACAATGGAGGATGTTGGTCTCAGACTTGTTAACAATGGTTTTAGTTAGTACCTACTTGTTGAACTAGCTCTTTCACTGTCTGTAATCATAAAACCACGGAATTTAAATAAAGAAATGCAGAAAGTGTTTGCTATTGGATACCGCTTGAGAGGACAGTAGGGAAAGAGATTTTGTAGATCCACAATAACTTGGGTTCATTAGCATTTTGCAAGATTAACAAAATGTCCCACACGTACACACACATTTGACAAAACTTTTTTTAAAGATTGTCTATCGAGTTTTTCTCGTTCTTCTCCATTTAAATCTAAACTTTGGTACGAGCTCCTAGCTTCTCTGATGAACTGACTGACAGACTATAATAATATTATATTTTGACGTTTCGATATTTGTTTATGGATTAGTTGTGATTACCTAAATGATTTTGACTTAACACTTCTGCATTTGTCAGATTAGTAGAATAGCATAAGTAATACTGATAATCCTATTGCAGGTTTTTCATCGTGACTTTCTTGTTCCCTCGCACGTGGCTCTTGTACGTGGCGAGCGTGTTGATCGGCGCGGGCGCAGCCGCTATATGGACCGGCCAGGGCAACTACTTGACACTCAACAGCGATGCCGATACTATATCCAGGAACTCTGGAGTCTTCTGGGCTATGTTACAGTGCAGGTACGGTACAACTTTCTCTGATGAAAAATATATTGTGTAGTTTCTTTTTAAATCTTATCAGAATAAAAGCTAATTCCAATCCAATTATTATCAAAAGTGGTTAAAGAATCAAGTATAATAAATCTTGTTAGCATATTAATTGATCAATTAACGTCTAGATGTAATTCACACTCGATGCCGATTTACGACCATAATGTCTCAGCTCGCCAATTTTTAAATCGTTAATTGAATGCTTTCTCTTTGCAGCATGTTTTTCGGAAATCTTTTCGTATTCATTAAGTTCCAAGGCAAGACGCAGATTGATGCGGAGACAAGGAATGTGGTGTTCGGCGCTTTGACGGGAGTCTGCGCTGTCGGTTTAGTTTTCCTCATGCTCCTAAGACCAGCCAAGCGTATGCCCAATATCGAAGATGCCAAGGTAAACCGCACCCTCTCGCGTTGACATAATGCATGTATTGCAACTAAACCATGGTCGACTAGATCTTAAATAACATTTTAATCTGCCCTGTCACTATTTTTGGCGTTATTCAATTCAAATACAAATTATTCGAGATGTCGACAATTTTATGACCCACGACTGGATTCCCTTGATCGTGTTTTCTTTAAATAGGAATGTTATGAGGTAGTTGAAACGAGGGTCAACGGGAACTTGTGTAGGTGGAGCTAATAAAGTCACTATAATTGAATATTTCCAAGTTAAGGATTTAGCCCTGATTTTGATAGGACATTGACCCTTACGATGCGGAAGATTATATATTAAAAACTCGTTTGGTTAAAATAGTAGGTTGAGTGCAATGTTAACGTACTGAATTTCTTTCCAGGGTGAAATAGTAACTCACGAAGTGCAAGAAAGTCCCCTCGATGCATTCAAAGGCGCCTTGAGGCTGTTCTGCACCCGCGATATGTTGTTGCTCAGTGTTACTTTCATTTATACTGGTGAGTTATATAACATCAAATCCGTTATTTCCCTAAGAACTGGACCAGCCAGTTATGTAGATAGTCCAGAAAGCTTACACGCCATGGTAGGCCCTCTGTTTTTCTAGGTGCCCAATCAATTATCAGAGTAATAATCAATCCCAGTCTTATGACAGAGTCCTGAACGATTTCAGGACTCTGTATCTTTAATATGAATGAATAGTTTGTGTATTTATGGGAGGTACATATTATGTAGTAAATCAGTAAGTTCACGTGATCTGATCTTTGTTTCTCCGCTGGGGTTTGTTGTTCTGACTAAGAAATGCGTACCGAGCCTAGTAAAATTACTTCTTGGATGATTATTCCAAGAATCCGGGATCATTGACTCCCTATAGCATTCGCTACCTTCACTGAATACTAATGAGGAATCCATTCCAACGTGATTTCAAAAGGAATCCTTTTTACAATTTGTGGAGAAAAGCCTTCGATTAATTAAATAAATATTTAAGACAAAATTTGTATCTCTTTTCAAATAAATGGTACTTGTCGGGACAATGACACTTTAAAGACGAAGCGAAGTAAATAACATATAGACGTAAAAAATAATGTAAGAAATGCAGAAATACAAAAGAATTGAACTTACTGATGTTATACTACATACATACATAGGTATGTGGTTCCGTAAACAAAGTTTATAAATATTTGCTCCGATTCATTAAAGCGCATTGATAAACCGGTTTACCCAATATATCTCCATGACGCGTAAATGTCAAATACTACGCGACATTTTATTATGCATTTTCATTTTAGTGCCATTATAAACATATTGCTTATTGTATAGAAATTAAGGTTTATCTTTCTTTGTAGCAAATAGACCACCTTTATGTAAAATATGTTGGATAGCTGGTGTGGTCTTTATTTTCGTAGCGTTATAGTTGAATTTCGCTTGTACCTAAATAAGTAGCCTGACGACATGAGGCTTTTAGAGATTCTATGAATCCCAAATTTCAAAACTCGAAACTTTTGAATAAAGATTTCAAATTTCGAACTACATATAAGACAATTCTATTATTCATTTTTAAACCTTAAAAAAATTAAGATGCACACAAGAATAGGTTTTAGTTAGAATAGGTTTCAGTGCGTGCATATAGCTAATTGAAATCCATTATTTAAACATATTTTTATTATATTTCCAGGTGTAGAACTGTCCTTCTTCAGCGGCGTGTACAGCCCTAGCATTGGTTTTACACTGTCTATGGGTGAGAATGCTAAACAGTTGGTGGGCTTGTCCGGCGTCTTCATTGGTATGGGAGAAGTGCTCGGTGAGTGCGATGTCACGTGTTATTTATTGTTTATTTTACGATAGCCATGGCTGTGGATAACGCTACTACAGTCGCTTAATAGATTATCGACTTTATTGACTTTGTCATAAAATTGGAATTCTATTGGGGTTTTAAGCTGGTACATTATGTGTCAAATAATCTTAGCGCTCTTTTAAGGTAAGCGTTACACTGAAAGAGTCATCCAGTGGCACGTGATTCGAATCGTTCGTCTCCCGGGATAGTTCAAATAGCTAGATGTGGCGTTTGTATCTTATTGAACTCATGGCCAAGACACTGTTATTGCAATGTAAACAAAACTAATATAATCACAAAATACTGATTTATTATTACGAATTAAGTTGAACAGAGTTTGGCTTCTATGGGATCTTTAAACTTTTCTCGATGGAAGAATTGCGTAGAGAGACTTATTTTTATTTTTACATTGAAAGTTTTTGGTTGTTTTTTAAAACTGTACACATTGTATACACATATTATGTGTGAACATTTTTATTCGACCATCTATGGACAACTTCGGATAAGTGCGACAAGTTTGTTTCTCTATTTTACCGTTAACACCTCCGCAATAAGATTAAAGTCGTTTGACAATTGAAAGTACAGTGGACCTCCGGTAATCCGATAAACATTATGCAGGGCAGTGTCGGACTATCGAATTTGTCGGATTATAGAGCACTGACTAAGACCGCTATAGTCCGGAATTTTTTACAAAAGAGTACCTTGTAATCCGACAAATTACATATCCAATGATAAGAATCTACATATATGTTATATGTTCATGTACTTTGAAGTACAAATTATACTTAATCTATGTACTTAAGTCGAATTTAGTAAATTATATAACAATTGAAAGCTTACATTTTATTATAAAATTAAGCATAAATGCACATACATATCAACCAAAATAATCAAGAATTACTAATCAAAAACATGTAAGTAGCGAATTTATCAAATTATGAAGATTTGAAATATTCATCATTTTTTTTTTGTTTAATTTTGATATAACGCGAGATCAGAGCTTTGTCCCTCAGTCTTCTCAAAAGTAAAAGTTCGTTGTAGGATGTACCATTCTCTTCAGCTCATTGTAAACCTAGCTCAAAAGCGTTAACTGCGCCACTAGAAGTGAAATTCAAACTAAGTAAAAAAATTTCGGTGGCGCGTACGAGTTGTGACCCTGTTCAAACCTGAGATCTACATTATCGAAGATTGTCAAACATAATTCAAAGTCATGTCGGATTACAGGGGGCGCCGGATTAGACAGGGGCCGGATTACTGGGGGTCCACTGTATAAATACTTACTTGCATATCCTTTCAAGATTACATATTGATACAGTATATTTACGGTTGTAAGTGTCATTTCCAAACACTTATTATTTATCTATTAATCTGATCACACGAGTTACAAAAAACCTTTTAAAAATAATCTTAAGATAAAAACTAATTACCTTCAATTGTCTATTTTGGTTTAGCAATATATTTATTGGGTAATGCAACAACAATATTAGTAATGGATAAAGATAACAATAAGGTTCAGTTTTACGTAATTGTGCAAAGAAAAACTAACTCATAAATAATGAGTTGCCACACATGTATGTATATAAATCATAATAAATGTTGTCGATGTTGTATGCAATGTTATTTGAACTTTATGTTAATGCTCACAAAAAATGGCATTGTGAAGTTAAAGTATAAATGACAGATTTGATGACACTATATTATACATACACTAGCTAATCTCGCGCGGTTTCACCCGCTGCTTGGCTCCTACAGATCGTGATGTTTTATAGCCTAAAGCCTTCCTCAATAAATGGTATATGAAACAAACAAGAATTTTTCAAATCGAACCAGTAGTTCCTGAGATAAGTGCGTTCAAACAAACAAACTCTTCAGCTTTATAATATTAGTATAGATAGACAGATGAAATGCGATTAATGTTTAGGATGTTACAATAATTCATTTATTAATTGAGGCAAATACTCATTTCCTTGCCTCTTCTACTTGCTAATAGCAGTTCTCTCTCCTTTTTCTTGCAGGAGGCGCTTTGTTCGGTATTCTGGGCTCAAAAACAACTCGTTGGGGTCGCGATCCGATCGTCATCATGGGATACTTCATCCATTTAGGCAGTTTCTTCCTCATCTTTATCAATTTGCCGACTGTCGCACCTTTCGGGGATACTAACGAAGTTTCCTACATCACACCTTCACCACAGCTGGCGATGTTCTGCAGTTTCCTCCTAGGGTTCGGAGACGCGTGCTTCAATACTCAGATTTACTCAATTTTGGGAGGCAACTACTCCGATAACAGTACCTCAGCTTTTGCACTGTTCAAATTTACTCAGGTGAGTTCTTTTTGTGTATTTTGTTTTGAGATTGTTATTCATTTTTTTGGTATAACGTGCAAGGTTTTAATGTAAAGTAAATTTGTTTATGCATATTATGTTTAGGTACATGGATTTCATGTTAAGAACAAAAATAACTTTTTTTTTGTCTTTGATATTTGCATAAGTAATTTTTAAAAGTTAATGTACCTAACAAGTAACAATAGGTATACTTAACGGTCATGTAATGAAATTGTTCTTTTTAGAAAACAAAAGAATGATATTATAATTTTTATTATTTGATTTGATTCGTCAGACATCGCTTTACATACCTATATGTCATTCACACACATATAAATCTTGATAAATAATTCTCTATTCATAAGTTTATTTATGTGAGTGAGTTATATGAGGAAAAATCTTGTTTTGTTGCCAATCAGGACCTATACAGATAACCTTCTCTGCACGGAAGTTAAAAGAGGATGTAATACTAAGTACTTACACGTGTCGCATGGATAAATAATAATGTGACCTAACTACACTTAAAAAAGGTGCATAATAGTTTGAGGCATTTACTATTGTCATATAAATAGGACGTAGAGTATCAATTAACTTTTAGATAAAAAAAATGTTATGAGTAGGTAATTATTATAAAACAATTGATTAGCGTCACATCAATCACTATTGATTTGTGCCTTTTAATGTCCCATGTAATTTAAAATTCTTTTGGACTTGACTGTATCATAAAGTTAAACATTTAATTTTTGGTAAAATATTTTGCATTTTCCAATAATTATTTCTTCAACTTTCAGTCTTTAGCAGCGGCAGCATGTTTCTTCTATTCTTCAAAGGCGTTGCTCTCCGTACAGCTGACGATTCTAGGCATCCTAGCAACACTAGGTACAGCCAGCTTCTGTCGCGTTGAATGGGCCGCCAGGGCTCGCGCACGCGCTCTAGCACTCGACGCTGACGACAAGTCCTCGCCAACTACACACGCTCTCGCAGACAACGGACTACACTACGACTGAATAAACGATACAGCCAGTGACGGATTAAACATGCGCGAGTCGCGAAGCATATTTTAATGGATGCCCCTCGATCTTAAATAATAAGCCAAGTTATGGTTAGCTATGCGGAACCTCAATTTATGAGAGGCCGATAGTTATTAAGGGCTTTTAAGCGTTACCAGATGGCGCTAGTGAAGCATTAGATCTTGTTCCTCTAATGATGGTAGCTGTAAAAATTCTATTGAACTAGATATCTTTGTTACCACTACTATCAGTGGGGGCTAATTCAGGCGCGATGGCCCTGCAACTACTCTTGCCAAGTGGTTAATCCGGCACTGGATAGAGCTTAATATTACTGGTTTTAGATACACATTTTTAATTAATTTGTACGTAAGTTTTGTGTCTATTATGGTGGAGTAAAATACAACTCGAATGTAGCATTACATCCACTTCATGTAAGTAGATGTCGCTAAATTAAAGTTTCGCTGAACTATGGTCGTTGTCAGTTTTGTTTGGTTTTTGCATTTGCAAGACAGTGGCTGGAATATTTCTCGGTCAAACTTTTTAATCTTATTGTATCGTGGTCTAAAAGTGTAAAGAGTAATTTTGAAGTCTCTAAAATCATTAATATAAGGCGTGTGTTATATAAGATGGAACGATCGGCTGACTATTGACTAGACAGTCTTAGAAAAAATTGTACATAAGAATAAAGCTATTATTGTAAGGAAAATTAATTTTAAAATTAAGCCTTTAAATTATAACAAACATGTACAATCATCGTCAGAGATTATAAACATTGTCTATGCGCCTGCATGTTTTTTAAACATTGGTAAAATTCGTTACGTTTCAAATATCGAAGTGCAAGCGTATTGACGATTTGAATGTCGTTACTTAATAGATCTATTTCAAACACGAATTTTAAATGAATAATTTTGAAGTATTGATATCGAAATATCTTTTACACATAGTTGATTGGTAATCGTTATAATATCAATTAATAAATACGTTATATAGAAGTATTAAATACTATGTTAAGTTAAAGTTGTCGGATTACAAAATTTTACTCAAATGAAATATTATAATGAAAAAATAAAATACCTAAGTTGGCTGTGTCAGATGTAATAGGTAATCTCCAAATGTTTATAGGATTAAATTCCTTTACCATGATCATTTAATGAAAATAATGATATTGTTTCATTCTTTGCTAATGGTTGGCATGTAATGTAGATTGTAAGCAAAATAGAGCAAGCTTTAAAGTGAGGGATGTATGTAGGTGACTTCCATTTGTGGTGGACTGTACTCACTGAATGAAACAGGGAATTAAATTATTGTTTTTATCCACTTTTTTATAAACTTCCATAGAATATTCTGTTTTAATTTCAACAAAATGAAGTGATTAGAACGAGGTATATATATCTTATGTATGGAAGGTAATGTGTGGTGCTCTACTCACGGCTCAGTGAGCTTAAATTATATTTTTATAAAAATAAATATATTATGTTGTATGTATTTATCTAGACGAAAACTTTAAAAATGTTTAAGTACATCTAGTCACAAAACTTGAGGTGTATAAATGTAATCATGAATTTGAAACCATTTATTGTTTAATTAATTCAAAGATGACATTCCCTGTATTGATTGTTTTTATCTACTTTATTGTAGTTTCTAGTTAAGTATTTAGTAGAAGTATAATTTTATATTTCGTTATTTTTTTATTTTCATGCTTTTAATTTAACATTCCATTTTTTTTTACCTGGCAGAATTAATAGTATTCCCTGCAGTTACTATCTAGTCTTATTTCCCTATTCTAAAATAACAGTTGACTATACTTTTAAACATTTCATGGAATTATATGTGAAATAAAATATTTTAATAACTATTGTAGGTGTTTCAAATTTTTTATCAACCCATATATAAACCTGTATTACAAGAATATGATGTTGCTATTGAAATGAAGATGTAGTTGGGTACCAAGCTGAAAGCATTTGGCTCAACTCACACCAAAACCTTTGAAGTGTAACTAACTGGAGCGCTATATCAATTTAATATAAATTAATACTTAGTTTTCATTATTACTATAATATTAATATTATAGCAACAGAAACTCCGACGAGTCTTGCGGGGTGTGCAACGCTAATTTCATAAGCGGAGCCTTCTTTTCTATTTTGAACCTAATTTTCTTTTAGAAATAGAACAGTTTGGCCAATTCTTCTTAAGGTAATGAGGATACTTTATCAATGTTAAAACAAATCTAGTAATTGTATAACTATTTTACTAAACAGTAACTATAATAAAAATAACAATAAATATACATAAAAAACAAATGCCTACATCTATTTACTTGGGTCCGCACTATTGTCCCCAAGTTTGAAGTCCATAGGTTTGTCGTAGCCCATCATTTTTGCATAGTGTAGGGGATCATTGAAGTGCCTTGCTTCTATGAAGAGAGGTGTTCCTTTAGCTTTCAATGTGGTGAACATGCCTGGAATTTCAGGAACCTCAACATCTTCTACTTTGAAGTCCAGCTGGAAGCAATGTTTAAAAGATGATAAGAGTTGTTACAAATAGTAAGTTGGTGTTTGAAATATTCAGCAATACTGTTGGCCAAAAAACCAAATATGATGTGGCAAATGAGATAGATTTTAATATAAAACAATATCCAACACTTTCGAAATTTGCTAAAGTTATATAATTTATGAAATAAAGCTTTGCTTCCAATAAATGATGAAGTGATTGTTTTTATTCATCACTGCTTATCAGTGATTAGTTTCACTTCTAATTGTCGTAATTTGGTAATGGATACAAATATAATATACACACATATAAATATAATCTTGAGTGAGACATGTCTTTTTTTAATGATTTGGTATCAAATAGTATGAAATATCGAATAACAAAAAAGTGATTGAATGGGCCGAATACTAAATAATATTCATAGCAACTCTGTTAATGATAGGTACATATAATAAAAACAAAACATCAAAGTATTAATCTCTGCTGCTTCCCAGAATACAGTGTAACTTTTAAAACAAGCACAAATGTTACTTGAATAATTGTTATAGAAGATGTCAGTTAATTACCTTTTTCTTCGCTAGAAAGAAATTTATAGTTGTAGCAGTGTATGTTGATGTTGTAGGGTCGTAATGTATTTCTGTTACATACTTCTTGGTGATTATGTGCAGTAACACGGGTGTAACGAATGTAAAGAACCCAACTACTGAGCAAAGAGCGACGAGCAGCGAAGTACTGCCTATCGTCGCCGCTTCTCTAATGATTATAGGTTGTGCCAATAAGCCCGCGGCACTCGAACTTAATGAAAACACTTTCACACCCTTAATCTGCGGCGTCAGTGGACCTTTGTATATACATTCTAACTTGTTATCTTCTTCAGTCAATTTCACCGCATAATTTCTACTCAAAATACTCGTACAGCTGCTAATGGCTTTTAATTTAGAGGTTATATCTTTTTGATTGAGGGGTCGAATGAGAATTTTACTTTGACTGAACGTAGTTTGTGCACAAAACCGTAACATTTTGCTTAATTATATTTGCAGTAACACTTATAATATTATCCGGCAGATCCAAAAATCACTGCCATTCCTTTTCCAATGAATTTGGGCGAAACAAATGTCAATGCGAGTTTTGACTTTGACAGTTCACATTTTATTCTACAAGTCAGTGTCAACTTGATATTGACATAATAGCTACGTTCAGAAATTTCAGCACTCAGGCTCGAAGTACAAGAAATGAAAATTTTACATACCTGCCTGAGGTCACTGAAGGATGCGAAAAAGGAACACTGCACAAAATTCCTTTCTTCATCAGTTATTTAATAACAAAAATGTTGTAGAGTATATGTAACTTATTAGGTATATCTGTTATATCTAATAATGAAATTGTGTTCACCAACATTAATTATCACTTTGGCACTTATTAAAATGTTTACACCATGTGTTTCGTTGGACAATTGTCTACATCATAACAGAAACCGGTTTCCGTGTCTAGTACGAGGGGATCAGGACAGTCGCATCTTGAAAATCCGCAAACGGTTCCTACAAGCGTTTGTTCTGGATGCTCGCAAGTTTTTTGAGCTGCCCAATACGTTGCTGAACAGTTGCTTCTTTTTTGAATCATCCATTCTGGACAGACATCGACACCTAGAATGAAAAACACATATTTTACGCATGACTTAATACTTACATTAGATAATTACACATTAGGTATTTGTGTGCACTCAAATGGGATGATGTAAGTACTTGCTATAAACTTCATTCAGCAAGAATTAGAATTCTTGACGGTAATGAGAATATTATCATTTAAGTAGGTAGAACACTATAAACCCCATCCTGCGAAATTAGGTAGGTACTTACGTAATAATAAACTTATAGTCTAAGCAACTATATACATATATACCTTTCGATGAATAAATAAATATCACTCCCTAAACGAATTCTATCAAATATTCGTATAAAACAAAAGGTCATGCATGCAACAAAACAAATTTATGTTTTTTCACTGTACGACCACGGTGAAAGTCTTGTAATGTGCCAAAGGGGCTTTAATTACCATCTTTAGAGTATTTATCAAAAAGATGTAGACAAATGTGGTGCTTAATGGATGGAAGTAGTAAGCACTTGTGTAAGTTGTTTGGCTCCGTACGAGTATTTATTTATTTATATGTATACTTGTAGATAGATTTGTGCAAGATTAAGTCTGGTAGTTTTACCTTAAATTAGTTATATTAGTCTGCCAATGTAACCTAGATTAGTCTAATACAGTGAATTCAAACACTAGTGTTTTTTCACTCTCATGACCGAAATTACGGTAATCCGACAATAGGCAGAGAATACCGAAGAGATGTCAGGCGCAGGATCAACCACTTTACGTAAGACGTCCTTTAAGAAACACAGAGGTGAAAACTACCAAATATCTAAACTCCAAATATATAAAAATCTGTTATTGTTTCCGGACTCAGAAGATGAACTCACATTGTATTATCAAAATGAAAAACATACAAAGATTTCTGACCTACCTAGTTAATAATATTTGAAGGATTGAGTGTTAGTAGATGAAATCTTTAGACAATATGCAATCAGCTAGAGTACTACTGCTACCGACCCCATGGAGAAAGTTAAAAGAATAGATGGACTGTTAATTAACTTACATGTGCCATTATGCCACAAGCAATGATTCACAGACGATTTATTGTAAGACGAAACCAAACTCAAACCGAACAAAATGAACGTGACGATCATATTGACTAGATCTAATACACTACTTGTACATCGCTACTAAGTCTTTCTTTTATAGCAAAAGGCTAAAGAGCGAACGAAACAATGTTTATAAAGTGTCATATATGGAACAATGCTAGCCAAGTTCTACAATGGCACTTTGTCTATTTTACGTAGAGACAATGAAATGATTGATTAAAAATATTGATGTCTCATCGTAACTTTATTCATAGTAATAATCTAAATGTTTTCCGGGATTGTGTTGTGTAAGAAGTAGGATACCGATAGCTGTCCGGGACATTCAAAATAAAACTGACGTAAAAGTCTGTCTAAATTACCTTGATGAATAATCTTCTAAGACACTAAGGTACTTACTTCTTCTAGCTATGCGATATAGGAACTTATTTTTGCTTCAAAGTGAGATAAGGGGTCGATTCATCGGCCTAAACAAGCACAAGTGAATGGCGACAATACGGCTATCTACTAGCCGAGCAAACATTGCCTATTGATTTAGTTTATCTGTCCGCAAACAAGGCGCGCGCGCCCTCAAGCACGTCGACGTGCTATGAATCGGATATACCACATATGTATACTACCATAAAAGAGACCCTAAGATAAATCTTCACTTTCCTAAAAATCATACTGCTATCTCTTATCTTCTCTTAGACGAGGCAAAAAGTTTGATTCTGGGTACCGATATCGATCTTGGGATAACTTTATTTTATTGACACATGACTATAACTTAAATTCAGTTTAAAGGTAAAAAAGGTATAAGCATTATTTGCCAAAGCGATTATTTAGCTATTAATTAGTAGAGGCGGCTTTATATCGATGCGCAGAATTCACCCCAAAAGAAAAGAACCGTGTAAAAAATGAGGATGTGCCGACTCACGACCGAAAGGACAGGTAATTATAACTTTCGAAATATGATCTATATCTTTTAATGTATTTTAACTTAAATGTTAAAAGAATAATTATGATTATCTACCCGTGCAATACGTTACGAAATATTTGTTATAATTATTACTATTTGCTATTTTTGATTAATGGCTCTTAATTATCAAAAGGAGCAACACAAATTTTTGCATTCCTAAACTGTTAATGACTAGGTAGGTAGGTGCCTAAAGTAATATTTTGTAGCCTATTATTATTGAAAAGTATATCTAGCAAGTGACCTTGTTATTTAAATGAGCAACTAAATAAAACTATCGCGGATATATTTTATATAGACTATAGTACTCTCAAAGTTAACCTCGCAGATAATACGGTAAACCTTTCCCGCCAATTCGAAAAGCCCTCAAAAAGCTTACCGCGCCTTCCTAACTAGAATTGAAACGTCACTTTATTAAAATAAAGTTTATATTTGAATGGTACAAATAGCAATATTATAGAAACAGATAGTCTATATCTGTTTCTCTTTGACAGAATGTTGTTATATCTGTCCCTTTTTCTCGGTGAAGCAAATGAGTGTTCAAGAGTTTTGTCTCTGTCTGTAGTATCGGTGTGGGTAGTTTAGTCGAGTTTCTGAGTTGGTGAAGTATCGCCGCGTTTGTTGCATTCGCGTTCGCGTTTGTTTACTTTTGTATAGAAATTAAATAACTATGGAACTTACATAGACAGGTTGTTTTCAAGTGATGTGATTGAAGCAGTGTTTTGATTGGTACTATTGTATTTTATTTTGTTAAAATGGAGACGAGGAGATTATTTTGGACTGTATTTTTGGGAGTTTTATGCAGAGCGGAGGCGGGTATGATGGGTGATCAGTGCGACTGGACTGGCAGGTATGTTGATGTTGAAACCTCTATTGTTTGGCATACTTTTTATTTATGAATTTGAATATAGAATCGATCAATCAACTAATTACTTGCATAGTTAATTGCGTATTGTGGTTCCCATTAAAACGTTTTGCTTGTAAGTAGAAAGTCCTAATTGTTTTTCAAAGTTCTTGACATCATTGGCCGTAAGTATGTATAATTAATATTTTTAATATACCTATTATAATTGTTTGCTTTGATCTTGAATTTATGCATGGTTGAAAGGAATTTGTGTGCGTATTTCATTTATAAATTAAATTTCAAATCTATTAAAATTTTACATATAAATGTTTACGTAACCTGAAGTTAAATAACGTACACTCTTATTTTTTTCTAGTACTTATATAGATTATGAAGGTAATTTATAGTCGTTTATTAACTAAATTATTGTTACATCTGGAATATAAAAATCGTACCAACATTATAGTGTATGCTGCATTAAATTTTCTACTTATGTAAGTACCTATTAGGCCTGGCTACCCACAATTGACTAAAAATACATAAAGTACTTTTACTTACTTAACTTACTACTTACTTACTTAGTACGGTACTTTCTTAAAGTTTCAGAAATGTAAGAATTTAAAAAGTTTGGCGAATCCGCGCGGAATGCGTCTCATTCAAAATATAAACAATCCTTCCCCGAGGCGATACATTGTTCGAGGCAATTTTCTTAATCAAGCCACATTTTATTACCATATTATTTGCGATCGCGTGTCCTACGTCATTAACAACCTTTTGATGTTTTTCAAATGAATCATTCATCGGATAAGTAGGTACCACGAGAACACGACATTTTTATCATAACTACCGATGTCGGTCGCCTGAAGGTAGCGCCGCTTATAATTTGAATGTAAATTTTGATGTTATCACTAAACACAATATTTTATTAAACTCGATCTTGCTATAGGGGAGCTATTAGTGTGACAAGTAATTATGTAGTAGGGGCGTCACTAATTATAAATCAATATATATAAGATACTTATCTTAAGTACCTACGTGGTTATGTAATTTCGCAACTCTTTTGATTCCTTACTCAAACAAATACGATTAATGTAAATTGCTTTTGTCAATTATTTTATTATTTTGTAGGTGCATTCGCTAAAATTCAAAAGAATTTGCCTTTAGTCCTACCTACCTACTTAAGTAGTAGTATGTAAACATAGTTATATTTACTTATTGAAAGTAATTACAAGAGATAATATGCCCAGATAAAGATCCAAGTTCGGCTCAGGACTATGATTGATCACGACACGTTCGAGTGTACAGCACGAGCTCATTAAGTCCCCACATCGAGTAGACTGTGCATTCATAATCGATGTACCGATGTCAACATGAAACATTAAAACAAAATAATTGTTATTGTTAATGGGGCCCGGAAACGATGTCAAATGGGGGCTCGATTACGGAACAAAAATCAACAAGTGGGGTTTCCCTGCAGGGGTGGCGTGGGAAACAGAAATGGAAACTGTTCTCGTCAACCCTAACTTGTACTGTATTGTACATGACCCTTCCGGCTAAAAAGGTGGCACCTACTCCCCCTCGATGTATCATTGGCTCTTTATTGGTTTTAGAGTTAAGTAAGAGATATATTTCCGATAATGTTTATTAATATC